CCCAAGGTCTCTGCGTTGATAAGCTCCTAGACCAGGGGAAGATTGATGACAAGGACCTTCCCCTAGAACTGACAGAGAGAGAAAGCCTTCCCTGGGAGCTGGTGCCCTGAATTCAGACTTCTAGCCTCCTAGACTGTGAGAGAATAAATTACTGTTTGTTAAAACCATCCACTTGTGGTATTTCTGTTATAGTGGCGCTAGATACCTAAGACACTTGGTAAAGCAGAAGATCAGCGAAAAAGACGAAGACCGTCAATGTGATGGACTGACACAGTGGCTGCAACAATGGGCTCAAACATAATAACGATTGTGAGGATGGCACAGGACCAGGCAGTGTTTCGTTCTGTTGTATGTAGGGTCACTATGAGTCGGAACTGACTCGACGGCACCTAACAACATTGTCTGTGAGTTCTGTCTGGCCATTGCAAAGAGTTATCAAACCCCAGCAGAGAAGCAGAGAGTGCCATGGGGTGGGGGTGGGGGTGGGGGAACAGCTGGTGTCAGAAATGGTGAAAAAGTTAGAGGTATGTCTCACCTCACAGAAACCAGCTTTGGGCTGATTCTGATTCTCCTCTCTCAGGAATCTAGACAGGTTCTGATGCTAGAACACACGTTCTATGCCTGTCTCCTAGTTTCTGGGGGCTGCCGGCAATGCTTGGCATCCCTTTGCTGCTTGTAGAAGCATCTGCCGCCATCATCATGTGCCCTGACCCCCACCACCACCTTCCCTGTGCATGTGTGTGACTATCCTTCTCTTTTATAAGGCACCACTCAGAAGGGATTAGGATTAAAACTCACTCTACTCTAGCATGACTTTGTTAATTTAACTGTTATCTGCAAAGAAAAATCTTATTTTCCCAAACAAGGTCACATTCACTGGTATAGAAGTTAGTACTTCAACATATCTTTTTGGGGAACACAATTCAATCCACAACAGCATGGGTGTTTCATTCAAGGACAAAGTGGGGGATGGCAAAGTATTTGTGTACTATTGATGGTTGTTGTTGTTGTTAGGTACCACCGAGTTGGTTCCTTTGTCCTTGTTATTAGGTGCCATTGAGTCGGTTCTGACTCATAGTGACCCTACGCACAACAGAACAAAACACTGCCCGGTCCTGTGCCATCCTCACAATCACTGTTATGCTTGAGTCCATTGTTGCAGCCACTGTGTCAGTCCATCTCGTCTAGAGTCTTCCTCTTTTTCTCTGACCCTCTACTTTACCAAGAATGATGTCCTTTCCAAGTGACTGGTCCCTCCTGATCACATGTCCAAAGTATGTGAGACATGGTCGCGCCTTCTTCACTTCTTAAGGAGCGTTCAGGCTGTGCTTCTTCCAAGACAGATTTGTTCATTCTTCTGGCAGTCCATGGTATATTCAACATTCTTCACCAACACCACAATTCAAAGGCATCAATTCTTCTTCTGTCTTCCTTATTCATTGTCCAGCTTTCACATGCATATGAGGTGATTAAAAACACCATGGCTTGATTGTGAGCGGCCATCTAAGATACTCCACTGGTCTCACCTTGCCTTGAGCAAGAGAGAATGAAGAAAACCAAAGACACAAGGGAAAGGTTAGTCCAAAGGACTAACGGACCACAACTACCACAGCCTCCACAAGACCAAGTCCAGTACAGCTAGATGGTGCCCGGCTAACACCACCAACTCCTCTGACAGGGATCACAATAAAGGGTCCCAGAAAGAGGTGGAGAAAAATGTCGAACAAAATTTTAACTCACAAAAAAAGACAAGACTTACTGGCCTGACAGAGACTGGAGAAACCCCGAGAATATGGCCCCCGGACACCCTTTTAGCTCAGTCATGAAGTCACTCCCGAGGTTCTCTCTTCAGCCATAGATTAGATAGGCCCATAAAACAGAACGAGACTAAAGCGGCTCAGCAGTCCAGGGACAAGGACTAGAAGGCAGGAGGGGACAGGAAAGCTCAGGATACGGAACCCAAGGTTGAAAAAGGACACTGTTGACATGTCGTGCGGTTGTTAACCATTGTCATAGGGCAATATGTGTACTAATTGTTTACTGAGAAACTAGTTTGTTCTGTAAACTTTCATCTAAAGTATAATCTAAAAAAAAAAAAAAGCACCATGGGTTGGGTCAGGCGCACCTTAGTCTTCAAGGTGACATCTTTGCTTTTCAACACTTTAAAGAGGTCTTTTGCAGCAGATTTGCCCAATGCAAGACACGGTTTGATTTCTTAACTGCTGCTTCCATGGGCATTGATTGTGGATCCAAGTAAAATGGAATCCTTGACAACTTCAATCTTTTCTCCATTTATCATGATGTTGCTTATCGGTCCAGTTGTGAGGATTTTTGTTGTTTTGTGAAAACTGTTGCTAGTAGGTAGGCTGTTGGATACAATAGTTAAGAGTGTGTGGAGGCTCTCTTCTGATTGCTTTTATTCTTGATAAGCAGTGAGACCATCATCAGCTGACAGTTAGGGGTGTTGGAAGAGCCAGTAAGAAATGAGCTCATGGGAGAGTGCATTGCCTGGGCAGGGCAGCAGGACTGCCAGGTGGCCCTGAGGGCTCAGCTGAGATTTATGAAACAGCATGGGAGTGTTTTTATTTTCTGCTAGTCAGCTGCTTGGATGCAGGCAGAATATGAGGAGAACTGAATGTAGGCAGGTTGTGGTTTTGAGCATGATGGAAGAAAAGGGAGACAAGGGTTTAGGCCAGGCAACTGGAGCCAGAAGAGCCAGGGGAAATCAGGTGAGCAGGGCAGCACAAACCCCTAGGCTTCTTTCAGACTCACCCTGCTGCAGCTGGAAAATGAGTTTACGGGTCCCACTACCACCCTCCTTCAGCACTGATTAGCTTCTCACTAAGTAGGGAGTTTATGAATGAAATCCCCATAATATTGCCCTGGTGAATGACTACTTGGAGGGAGGCCTCTCATGTTCATGCTGTGTCCCAGTTTACCAGGATTAAGATAAAGAATGCACAAAACATAGCACAAGTGCAATTATGTAATCACTGTGGTACTAGATCAGTAACAGAAACAAAATAGGCAGTCAAGAAACAAATTGTAGCATATGAGAAGTGAAATACATTCGGGGACTATTAATGTGGGTCCGAAATCAGGGATGTTAGAAATAGCCGTTTATTTCCTACAGCAACTGAATTTCTAACTCTGAGGCTCCTTTCTACTGAGCTCTCTCAAAATCTTCTTTTGGGCTTTCTTGGTTTTGTCTCTTCTCTGCCAGGAAATGTGCTCTGTAACCTTTGGCTCCCTTTCTCTCAAGTCTGGCCAGACCACAGAACCATGCATTTCTAGAACTATGCTCTACCATTGTACGGACATGATTTGCTGCTTTCATGGGAAAATATTTTGGGGGAAGGGCATCGTCCCCCCAAACACACACACACTCATCTTCTCTCCTCACCTTCTGCAAACTCAGGAAGCTCTCTTGAGGGCTTAGTCTTTTTAAACACACACCAGAAAGCCTTACAGCTGCTACAGCTTGCCTTTGGTATGTCACACGTCCCCCCCCCACCCCGAGGCATCTAAGCAGAGAAAAGGATACTCCCTTGAGTCTGGAGGAGGAGCAGAGAGGACAAAATATAGTGCTAAAAATCCATCAACGAATATCTCAACTTTATTCAGCCAAACATGTATTAATGCATTATCACAAAATAATGCGGAGGTACAAAAAACTACTAAAGGTGCTCTGGTGACACAGTGGTTAAAGTGCTTGGCTGCTAACCAAAAGGTCAGGAGTCTGAAGCCACCATCCGCTCTGAGGGAGAAAGCAGCAGCAGTCTGCTTCAGTAAAGATTTACAGCCTTGGAAAAACCCTAGGGGGCAGTTCTGCTCTGTCCTGTAGGGTCACTATGAGTTGGAATCAACTCAAAGGCAGTGGGTTTTTAAAAATCTACTCATGGATAGGATGATAACTGGGAAATTTGGATCATTATTATTATTACCTCAACATACACCCAAATAAACTCCAGATAGAATAAACCCTAACTGAGAAAAGTGAAATGCTTTCAATCTTTGGACGGCAGAGGAGGAATCGAAGAAAAACAATAGCTTTCCTTTTCTATCAGCAGCAGCTCATTGGAAAACAATGACAAACGATCCTATTTGCAATAGCAATAAAGTATGAAATAACTAGGGCCCAATCAATTGAGACATGACCAGGATGTTTGGCAAGGGTTCTTAAAACCTCTAAGAATCTTCGGAAAGTTTTGGACCATCTGTCACATAAAATGGCCCCACAAATGTTGCATACAAACTCAGGAGTTCCACAAGCCCCCTCCCGAAGTCCACAGACGCTAGGTTAAGACCCCCAGGTTGACAGCGAGAAGAGTGAGCACAGCACTAAAGACAGGTAGAGCTCAAACCACGGAGGGGCCTCTACATCCTCTGTGGTCCAATACCGCAGCCACTAGCGACCTGAGGCTACTGAGCACTTGTTGTGTGCCATCGAGTCGATTCTGATTCATAGCGACCCTGTAGGACAGAGTAGAACTGCCCTGTAGGGTTTCCTATGCTGAAATCTTTACAAGAGCAGATCACCAGGTCCTTCTTCCCGCGGTGCACCACCAGGGATCCTTAGTTCTAACTGAGACGCGCTAAAAGTGTAAAACACACACCGGGACGGAAGAGTTAGTACGGAAAAAAAAAAAAAAAGAATGTAAAATCTCTCTCCATAATGTGTTTGCATTGCCTACATGGTGAAATAAAATATTTTGGATAAGTGGGTTTCATAAAACACATCATTAAAATTATTTTCACCTGTTCCTCTTTTCCATGTGGCTGCTGGAACAATTAAAAGTACACATGTGGTTCGCATTCTATTCCTATTGGACAGCGACGCTCTACATGGATGGTAGTAGCAAGCAGCAAAGGAAATTTCCATCTCTGTGCTTCCATTTCATTTTTCAATCGAGGCTGATCCCGACACCTACCTTAAAGTGTCAGCATGAGGAAACAAAGAGCTAATATTTACAGAGCGCTCTGGCACTCAGAACTCTCACCAGCCGTTGGGCACCCAGATTAAAGCCAGCAAACCGTGGCTGAAGCGCCCACTCGGCTCCGGGGAAGCCCCGGCTGGCTTCTACGCAGGCGCTCCTGGCCTGGGCCGCGGAAGGCGGGGCGAGGCCCGAGGAGCCTGCGCGCACGCAACTCTCGGGCCGAACCAGCCAATAGCATTGCCCTTCCTTCCCTCGCGCACCTCGGGCCCCGCCCCCCCGGCCCTGTCCCGCCCCGCGGCGCGGCGCTGCACGCACGGGGCGGAGCACAAGTGGGCGGGTCCTAGCGGCGCGGCCTGAAGGGACCGAGGCGGCGGGAGTCGGGTGGTCGATCCTTCGTCTGTGGCTTGGGCGGCGTGCACGTTGTGAGGGGAACATGGCGGACGTCGAAGGTAAGGACTGCAAGCCGGCTGGCCGTGCGCGACCGAGCGGAGCCAGCTCTGCGGGCTCGAGGAACTGGGGGAGCGGCGTCGGGGCCCGCGCTCGCCGCCCGCCCGCTCCCACCGCCGGGCCTCTTGCGGGACTTGTCTCCTGGCCGGGTGCTGCACGGGCGAGGGCGCGAGACCTAGAGGGCCCTGCGGTGACGTGGCTCCGCAGGGCCCGAGTCGCAACCGAAAGGTGTCGCGGCGCTGGCGGCCCCGAGGTGGCGGGAGTCCTGGGAGTACCTGTGTGACGCCGCCGCCAGTGCCGCGCGATGGAGGAGAAGGGGTGGTGGGGACGAGTGGGGGAGAAAGAAGCCGAGGGCCGCAGGCTCGGACATAACTAACTCTGCGTCCTAAGAAAGTCTTAGAGACCACAAACCTCTGGCCGGGCAGCTCTGCGCGGTTTTTAAGCCCCACCGCGGCCACGTGGTGAACCGGAAAGGAAGCCACCACGTGCGACAGCCGCCACTCAGTTACCGACCCGTGCGGAGAAGTGTTTGGCTTTACAGACTTTGTTTTTTCCAGGAACTTTGCACTAAAAGTCTATATCCTACGTGCCCTGATTCCTGTTTTTATTTTATTCTAAACTTTGTCTCGTCTTCGGGAAAATCTTCAAACCTCTGTTTTTTAGTTGTTTTGCTGAAGAAGCATAAGAAGAAAAAGGACCGGAAGTCATTAGCAGAAGATGATGTAGCCGTAAGTGGGAATGTTTTATTTTATTAAGTTACTTAGCAAGCTGAAGGAAATAACTTTCTAAAGGTTTCTAAGAAATGGACTGGAATTGTGCGTCATTGTGTAGAAACAACAAAGCTCCTGAAAACTATTCTATCCGAAGTTTCTCATACTGGACCATTGTTTACAAAACGGTCTTGCTCCTACCACCTGCTCTATTGAAAGCCTGTCTCTTCCTTATCCTGCCCACAGATCCTCCAGGCCCCCTTCTCTTTAAGTATTTGGACCCATCCTAGTGGCATTACACTTCCACTTCTGAACCCCTGGTTCATTTCTTGTCTTTCTTTCATACAGAAGCATCAGTTTCTGTAGTAGGTATGGACTTGATAAAAATCAGGTGGGAAGTCTAATACGGTGTGTTTCTCTCTTGTCAAAGGAAATACAGCACGCTGAAGAATTTCTTATAAAACCTGAATCCAAAGTGGCTCGGTTGGACACATCTCAGTGGCCCTTGTTGTTAAAGGTATGTGGTTAAGATCATGCATCAGGCTTTTAGGTTTATTTCTAAATGTTAAACAATTTATTTTGTCCACTAGTCCATAGGTATTGGCTGCACATGGAAAATCATAAAAGTATGCCGTAAAGCAGACACCTGACTGTTCCATGAGTTTATACATACCTGACCTCATCTGTACCCTCTGTCTTCCCCGTTAGATTTCACTTTTTAAAAGCAGGAATACTTAATGCAAGCATCCTTGACTTCTGGGATGTGCCAGAGGATAGTCTAAAGCAGTGTTCCTCCAGGTATTTGAGATGAAGGACCAGGTTATTTTTTTAAATTTCCAGTGCACCCAGTACTGTTGTAATATACAATTAAAATGCCACGGCAGTGTTAAATTGTTGTCACAGTTTCTAAATGCTTAGCTGTCGGTTTCTGTACTCTTGCCTTCCAGACCTGCCCTAGTTCATGGACCAGGCTTGGAGTAGTACTGCTCTAGTGCTTAACATAATAGGCTTTGAAGCCAGCCAGTTTGGGTCAGGCTGTTCGTGACCTTGGGCCAGTCATTCCACCCCTCAGACTGTTTGCTCAGAGTATTGCAGGAGGTAACCCATAAAATGTGTTTAGCCACAGTGCTGGGCATGTAACATATCCTCTAGAAATTATTGTCTATTATTTTTGGTCTTAGCCCTGGTGGTGCAGTGGTTAAAGCACTTGGATGCAGGAGAAAGATGTGGCAGCATGTTTCTGTAAAGATTGCAGCCTTAGAAAACCTACTCTGTCCTGTAGGGTCACTGTGAGTCAGAGTCGACTTGATGGCAACGAGTTTAGTTTATTGGGATCTTAAATAGGGTAGTTCAGTAAAGAATTGAATTACGTTGTAGTTTTGTTTTACAATTAAATGGGCACTTGGTATTAGGTTAAAAGAAAAGGTTGCTGAGACACCCCTTGACGAAGAGTTTTAATAAACCAATTTACTTGACATATAAGATTTGCTAATATAATTCAACACAGCTGAGTTTCTGTTTGGCCAGATACCTCTGCCATTTAGACAACATTTGCTTTTCTAATGTGGGTCTTGGGAATGCACTGGTGAGCAGGGTAGACGAAGTCTCTGCTCTCCTGGAACTAAGATCTAGGGGTGGGAGGTAGATAATTTAAAAAGAAGTAACAAGTGCCATGACAGAGCTGAACTGGGTGGCAGGACAGCTGGGCTTGAATTGGGGGATCTATTTCAGATGCAGGGGTGGCCAGGGATGGGTCCTCAGAAGTGAAGAGATTTGAGCACACTTTTGGAGAGTAGATAGGAGCATCTGAAGGGGAAACGAGCTGGTCATGTTTGAGAAACATTGCTGTCAGCAGTCCTGAATTTGACTGTCTTTTACCCTGAGAAGGTGAAAGGTTTTGCATGTTTTCTTCATAATCTTGCACAGCAGCACCAGTCTGTTCTTTGGTACCCCCAGGAGTTTCCACTTCCTAGAGCAGTGTTTTACATCTATGAGTGATCAAATTTGTCTTGTTCTTATTAATATGAGTAATTCTCAGTATTTAAGGAGACTTAACAGTCTGTCCCAGCAGACAATGAAAATACAGGAGCAAAACCCAAATGGATGTACTTTAAGGGTTACCCTATCATGGTTGCTTGGTGGTGGTTTAAGAACAAGGACTGTGAAGATGTAAGTTTATGTTGTGTTGTATCATTGCTTTCTAGAATTTTGATAAGCTAAATGTAAGGACAACACACTATACTCCTCTTCCTTCTGGTTCAAATCCTCTGAAGAGGGAGATTGCCGACTACATCAGGTAGGTGTCTGGAGTAGGCACTGGGCAAAATGAATAGCACCTGTGCCCATGGTGATTTTCTTTTTCCTTTTCAGACTTGTTTCATTAGAATACAAGAGCAGAGGGTATATGATTTTTTTTTTCCCTTATAGGACAGGTTTCATTAACCTTGACAAGCCCTCTAACCCCTCTTCCCATGAGGTGGTAGCCTGGATCCGGCGAATACTTCGTGTTGAGAAGACAGGACACAGCGGTACTCTGGATCCCAAGGTGACTGGCTGTCTAATCGTGTGCATAGAACGAGCCACCCGCTTGGTGAAATCACAACAGAGCGCAGGTATGTGGAGGGGGGACTTTGAGATCGGAAGGGTTTCTCTGTTTTGCTTCCCGTCTGTCTATGCTTTGGGTTTTGGAAACAGTTTCTTAGGGGAAACATTCCTAAAAGAGGATATTCTTCTGGTTTCTCTGTGTCTTCCGTCTGTCCTCTGCCAGATGCTTGTGCATCTGCCCTTTTCTTGGCACGTTAGCTACCAAATACACTCTCGGCTCATCACTCCAGGCTTGAAAACGGAAAACTTAGTGGTCACACCTAACTACTCTTCTGTCATTTTTCAGGCAAAGAGTATGTGGGAATTGTCCGGCTGCATGATGCCATTGAAGGGGCGACCCAGCTTTCTAGGGTAAGTCTCCATTGGCAGGGAGGGCCCCCTTTGGTGACTTGGATCTTCTGAGCGCAGACGTGTCTTGAGACAGGTCTGCATTCCTTGTTGGCCTATCTCTTCCACGGAGCTCTCCCACCCTTTTCAAACATCTTCTGGCAATGTCCCCTCTGAGGAAGGGTTCTGATCAGCACTGGGCTACCCAGTGTATTTGAAGAGGCAGAAAAAAGAAAAAACTACATGTTCAATTGAGTCCTTAAACTCACAAAATACACCGTTTGATCTTATTTGCGAGTTTGTGCCGTGAGTCTTTGTTTTGATTTGTGTGTGTTCGTAGGCCCTAGAAACTCTGACAGGCGCCCTGTTCCAGCGACCCCCACTTATTGCTGCAGTAAAGAGACAACTCCGAGTCCGGACCATCTACGAGAGCAAAATGATAGAGTACGATCCTGAGAGAAGATTAGGTGGGTCGTTAGGCTTTTGAGAAACTGAGTTGGCATGGACCACAAGTGGGTAGGAATGCCTTTGGGAACATTCCGTGTATGAAATAGAGGCTGTTAGTGTGTTGTGTGGTCATGGCCTGTTTTTATTGTCTCTAGTCTCAGACCTAACTTCATAGGTCTCTCAACCAGTGATGTGTTACCTTTGGAAAATAAGTGCTACTTTTCTTTTGTGTGTGTGTCTTAGGAATCTTTTGGGTGAGCTGTGAGGCTGGCACCTACATTCGGACACTGTGTGTGCACCTTGGTTTGTTACTGGGAGTTGGAGGTCAGATGCAGGAACTTCGGAGGGTTCGTTCTGGAGTTATGAGTGAAAAGGTACACTGTTCTGGGATTGGACGTTTTAGAGCTGGTTCTTACTGTCTTCCAGCCCTTGGTAGAACTCTGCCTGCTTAACATCCTGGAAAAGGCAGTTTCCAAAGTGTTGAGTTCAGTTCAGGGCAGCTTCCCTGATCTGTTAATTAAACTTTGGGACATTGAAATGGGCTAGGGGAAATGGGTGGATAGAAAACATTCTCCTATTCATTTATCTCCCAGCCTACAGAAATGCCTGCCTAGATTTAATATAAAATCTGTTGCTGTGAAGTCGATGCCGACTCATAGCAACCCTACAGTATAGGGCAGAGTAGAACTGCCCCATAGGGTTTCCAGGGAGCAGCTGGTGGGTTTGAACTGCTGACCTTTTGGTTAGCAGCCTGAGCTCTTAACCACTGCGCCATCAGGATTCTGTAGGGCAACAGGTGAAGATCTCCAGAAGAGATGATTAAGAGGTTGAAGACTATACTTGGACTAGCACTCCACACAAGTTCTGTTCATTCTGTTGACGTTTAGGGTTTGATTGACTATTTGAGATTGGATGCTGCTGAATTCTTTTCATACATGGCTGCTTTTCAGGACCATATGGTGACAATGCATGATGTGCTGGATGCTCAGTGGCTGTATGATAATCACAAGGATGAGAGTTACCTGCGGCGAGTTATCTACCCTCTGGAAAAGTTGCTGACGTCTCACAAGCGGCTGGTTATGAAAGATAGTGCTGTGAGTTCGGGGTTGCTAGTCCACGTTTGGATAAAATGGGACTCCAAAGAGACATCCTTATTCTGAAAACTTCATTCCATTTAAAGAACAAACTTTGACGTTGTGAACTTACGCTTATTATTTTCCTTTGGGTTTTGTTTTTTCTGGTTTCATAAGTTGGGCAATATATCTGTTTAATTTTTTGTTCACAATGGACATATTTATGACTTAAAAATTATTAAATCAGACCCAAATGTGCTAAGTTAAAGTAACAGTTGAACATGAGGCCAAATTCCATTTCAAAATAAAGCAGATTAATTGCACATTGACATTTAAGAGTTCTCCCAAAGTAAGTAACTTGGGTCAAGTAAAAGATAATTGGCACATACACTTGCCCTTGTGTAGCCTGGTAGTTTTGTGTGTGCCTGCGAAACCTTGGTTTATTTAAATTATCATTTGAAAAATAATTGTTTCAATGTGGAGAGGGAGGTTTGGACTAGAGAGTTTGAACTATAATAACAAAGGTACTTATCCAGTAGGAATTGCAATGAAAAATTTTGTTCTGCTTAAATAGGTGGTAGTGTAAGGCTGTAAAACCTAAATGTTACCGAGGTTATCTAGCCTTTTTTCTTAGTATATTTACTAAAACACCTTAAAATCGAGGTAGTCATGTGAATAATGAAAGTCAGTCCTATTTCCTGATTGTTATTTCAGTTTTGATATCCTTTTTTGGTCCAGGGTGATTTAGGGGTTTCTTATTTTCCAAATGGTCACAATGTTTTAAAATAATCTATTTCTAATTGCGTCGTATTATAATCAGAGAAGGTGGCGTTTTATAAGATTTTTGTTTGTGGCCAAGTTCATACTAATTTTTGTTCACATTAAAACCTGTTGCCACTGAGTTGAATCTGGATTTATGTTAACTGTTATGTAGCCATAAAAAATTACCTACTTGTGAGCTATACATTTAAATTGAGGTTGATGATTGTTCCTATTCCAATTTTAAATTGTATGCTTATTTGATGCATTTTTGTAATTTATAGTCCAATAGTAAAAGACCAAAAATTAAAAAAAAGAGACATACTGGAAGATTTCACTCTAATGTTTGAAGAAACTTAACCAGTGAGCAACATAAATCTGATACTCTCCTTATGCTGGGGCCAAACTGTGTTGGCTTCTGGGAAAATTCAGTCTAAAACTAGACTGCATTTCTTATTGAAGAATGTCCCCAAGGAAATCATTGTTCTTTAGCAGTAAAGTATCCTGGACATAGGAGAAGGAGCTATTATTTTAAGGTCTTCTTTAACAATTTTGAGGTAATGTATGTAAAGTCCACCACATGTCCGTCAGTTTGTTGTACTGTGGTGGCTTTTGTGTTGCTGTGATGCTGGAAGCTATGCTAGCGGTATTCCAAATACCAGCAGGGTCACCCATGGTGGACAGGTTTCAGTGGAGCTTCCAGACTAAGACAGACTAGAAAGAAGGACCTGGCAGTCTACTTCTGAAAAAATTGGCCAGTGAAAACCTTATGAATAGCAATGGCTCAAACATAGCAACGATTGTGAGGATGGTGCAGGACTGGGCAGTGTTTCGTTCTGTTGTACGTAGGATCATTGAGTCAGGACCAACTGGATAGTGTCTGACAACAACATAGGTAAAGTGCTTAGGTGGTTGCTATTGTTCTGAGCTATAGATGCTGTTATCCGTATTTCACAGATGCAGGAGAAGGAAGCGCTCAAAGCCCTGCTTGTGGCCTCTCCCCATTCCCCCCGCCCTTTTCTTCTCTTCGTATGTTCTTATGGAGGGCAGGCAGCACACTTAAGTGGCATCAGAATCCCCTGGAGGGCTTGTTAAGACCCAGAAGCCTGGGTCACTTGCAGATTCTCTGATGCTGCTGGTCTGGGGGGACCTGCTTTGAGACCAGTGGTCTCTGGCTACTACATGGTGGGCCCTAGTAGGCCCTCAGAAGGCGGGTAAGTTTGAATCAGTTGATGACAGAACTGAGATTGCCGGCGGCTCTCCTGCAGGTGAATGCAATCTGCTATGGAGCAAAGATCCTGCTTCCAGGTGTTCTTCGGTACGAGGACGGCATTGAAGTCAATCAGGAGATCGTCGTCATCACCACCAAGGGGGAAGCGATCTGTATGGGTAAGAGGGAGGGGAAGCGATCTGTATGGGTAAGAGGGAGGATGCGCTTGGTCAGCTCGAGTCAACGCTCTGTTCCACGCCATCGTAGTCAGTTTTCTGCAGTCTGTGGTCACAGAGAAGGGAAATGTCAATCAGGTACAGGCCAGAGGGGAAGTGGGCTTTCAGCTTGCACACTAGTTGGTGTCCCCAGTGAAGACTGAACCAAGACAGGAAAGATGAAGACTTATTAACTGTTTGTTGATGGTAATTGGAATAAAAGCTTTTAGTTTACTCTTTGCTAAATTTTTAAAATTTAGTTTTTTGCCAGCTACTGTTGGATTAGCCCTTAAAACTTCAAATCCTTTGAAGGGGATGTGTATGTCCCTGTACTCATCATGTGTCACAGTCTTGGCATATGTTTCCTTAGGGGGCTTTGTTGTGGGGTTCCTTTACCCTCTGCTTCTACCTGCTCACTGAGCTGAGACAGTGGACCTTAATGATAAGCTTTATTTCTGGAGCACATTAGACCCATTAAAAGAGTATCTGATTGATTCATTAAGGCCTCTCCCAAGGACCTAAGATTTTTATTTAGTGTGGTTATTACTGGTATCTTGTTTACCTTGATAAATTTAACATCTGCCCATAACTGAGGATTAAAAAATCATGTGGTGGAATGTCCACTAAATGGGAATTGGGATCTAAAGCTACCTGATTCCCTGTAAGCCTGGACATGTAATCTTTTTCTTCCCTACCATCAGAGTTCACTTGGCTGGGCTTTAAATTTTGCTGAATATGTAACATTATCTTAGTTTTCTAGCACTGCTATAAAAAATACCACAAGTGGATGGCAGTAGACTGCAGAGGTTCAAATGGGTTATAAAGTCGCATAAAACAGTGGAGTGGGGGCTCATCAGTTATCAGTCTTTTCCGTTTCAAATCATTCTTTTGTCTTTTTCCAATGCCTGTAGCTATTGCGTTAATGACCACAGCAGTGATCTCTACCTGTGACCATGGGATAGTAGCTAAGATCAAGAGAGTGATCATGGAGAGAGATACATATCCTCGGAAGTGGGGTTTAGGTCCAAAGGTAAGTGGGATTGGGTAGCAGACCCTGTTGTGCTATTTTGTTCTGCGTTGTTGAACAGCCCTTGGTGTGTCCACCCCCACCGCCACCTCCGTTTATTGTGCTGGACTCTGGGGAGTGAATGGCGAGTGGAAGACCTTAAGGTTTTCAGTTTAACGGGAGAGGTAGACGGCATTACTGTCCAACGGGATGGTGAACTCTGGCCATAGTGAAGGGCCCTCTAGGAGTGCAGAGAGGTGCCCGGTGGCATGGATGCCCACAGCAAGGGGGTGATGAGGAGGTGAGTTTAGGGCAGAGGAACAGCTGTGCAAATGCCTTGTGGCTGCAGAGCAGCATGGCTGGGAATACACAGAACGACACCACAGAGGCTCTCCCTAGTGCGGTAAGCTTTAGTTGCTCCTGTTGGAGAGAGCTCTCCAGAGGGCAGGTGGCATGGCTTCAGTGTTGCAAACCTGACTTTCCATCAGGCAAGTCAGAAGAGGATGATGATCAAGCAGGGCCTTCTGGACAAGCACGGCAAGCCTACGGACAGCACGCCCGCTGCCTGGGTGCAGGAATATGTGGACTACAGGTGAGGAGAGGAGATGGTGAAGCCGTGGGGGCTAGAGATTTGCTTGGGAGAAATCTCACTGCATGCAGCACTATAGTAACCGCAGCTGGGCAGGAAGCCACCGCAGCTGCTCAGTTCTCCTTGCTCCCATGAAACTGCTGGGCTGGGCGAGATCTGGTGAGCTGTCGGGGCACAGAGGCCTGTCCCTGACTGCTTGGGTCAGGGAGGGGCTGGGCCTGCAGAGCAGACAGCTGTCCGTTTCTAGTCTGGCTCCTGGGACTCTAGAGGGAGTCGGTCTGCAACATGAAGTGTCTAGCGTCAGTATTTCCTGCTGGCTTTAGACTGGCCAAATACCACCAGTTAACTGAGGGTACAGCCGTTCTGGAAATGTGACATTTTGTCACTTCTCTTTCAGTGATTCTGTGAATAAAGAGGTGGTTGCTGAAGCTGTGGAAACCCAAAAGGTGAGTGGCCTGCTGTGATGTTTGCAGTGTACTTCAGGAGGTAATTCTGTGAAGTACTCATGCCTGGCTCATCTCGGGGCCTGTCTGCAGCCCAGCGGTGTGTCTTGTCCATGCCAACTACTACTGTATCACACCCAGGGGCCAGCTCCCAGCCGGCATCATTTTCCTCCCTACCATGTCTGTTTGGAGGAGGGTGGGCTCTAGAGGCAGACTGGCTGGGGCTCCCATCTCAGCTGAGGCAAGGGGGGTGAGGTCAACAACACTGGAACAGTGAGGTGGCCCAGCTGCTCTTCGGTTTTCCACCATGGGTCAGGTAGTAGCACAGGTTAAGTTTTAATGTCCTGCAGTGCACTTAAAAGAGGAAGCCATGACATGTTGTGGTTCACATTGGGGTTCATGTAAAACTCAGGGAACAAAATCTCCAAAGGACAGTCCAGTCAGAGTAAAACAGGTGGTGAAGACGCAGCTTCTCACGATCAGAGAGGGTTGTGCTGAGTGACACGCTATTCGGTCAGTTCTGGGTTGGTGTTCCAGGCCTTTAGTTTCTCCTGGCATGTCAAATGGGAAGCCCTGCTTTGCCCGCCTAGCTTCTGGGACGGTTTATGGGCCTTAGAGCTGGAGTACTCTTGGAGGTAATGTAGTTCAGCTCCTCCTCCTCTACCCGGAGTGAGGCTTTCAGTGGCTGAACCCAGCGCTGCTGGCGTGGGGCTCCTGTGCCACACGACCACCGTGGTCTTTTGGGATAAAACCGTCTGTCAAATCCTTTGTAAACAAAAGTCCTGTCAGGAAACTGCCTTGTTGGATGCAGTTGGGATCTCATGGTCACTCCCCCCTTTATTGCCCAAGACCTAATTTTTGATCAATTGTCTTCACCTTAGCGGAAACGAGAGAGTGACAGCGAAAGTGACAAAGAGACCTCTCCAGTTGTTCCACAGTTGGTCAAGAAGGAAAAGAAAAAGAATAAAAAGGACAAAAAGGCCAAAGCTGCTCTAGAGAGTGGAGGCGAGCTGGGAGATGCGGTGTGTATATCACTTTCCACCTTCAGGGTCCTTTGGGCTCGCTTAGTCCTTGGACAGGGAATCAATTGTCCAGATGGTGATGGCTTTCTGACTCTTAGGAGGAGCTGATGTGTACCACCCTCACCCCCAGGGGATGGATGAATATAGGCACCTAACGTGGGGTTCCTGTGCCACACGACTGCTGTGGTCTTTTGGGATAAGACCATCTTTCAAGTCCTCTGTAAACGAAAGTCCTGTCAGGGTTAGTGATCAGGAAACTGCCTATTGGAGGCAGTTGGGATCTCATGGTGACTCCCTCACTTTGACTTGTAGAGCGTTTCTCCTCCTTTATCATCCAAGATCTAATTTTTGATCAATTGTTTTCACCTTAGCGGAAACGAGAGAGTGACAGCGAAAGTGACAAAGAGACCTCTCAAGCTGTTCCACAGTTGGTCAAGAAGGAAAAGAAGAATAAAAAAAAGGACAAAAAGGACAAAAAGGCCAAAGCTGCTCTAGAGAGTGGAGGCGAGCCGGGAGATGCGGTGTGTATATCACCTTCCACCTTCAGGGTGCTCTGGGCTCGCTTAGTCCTTGGACAGGGAAACAATTGTCCAGATGGTGATGGCTTTCTGACTCTTAGGAGGAGCTGGTGTGTACCACCCTCACCCCTGGACAATTTATCCTAACTGTATGTGGTGGGTGATGGGTAGCTCAGTAATCTGAATGGTCCTTTTTGTAAAAGTAGATTACCGAGGGTGTCCCTGAGTTGAAGGACCAGTTAGAACTTTGTGTTATGTGCAGAATTAATAAGGAATATCATTACAGATTCTGCAAAATAGAATGTACGTAGCAAAAAGGCTGGCTTCTTGCCTCTTAGAGCTTGACCAGATTGCAACTTGGTTTGTTAGTGGATGATGTGAGCTTTCTTTCTCTTTCTCCCTAGGACAGTGACACTACCAAAAAGAAGAAGAAGAAGAAAGCAAAAGTGAGTTCTGAGTAGTGATGACTGCTTTGAGCATTTTGTCCGGCTGGGAGAAGAATTAAAGGGAAAACATGAATCCTTGTGGTGGTGTACATCAGGTTGCCGTGAGTCAGCACCGACGCAAAGCACCTAACAACAACAATTGTACATAAACTTTATATCTCCATATTCACCACACTAGTATGTGGTCAGATGACTTGAGAAATGTCGTAAAAGACCTCCTGAGTATGACACACAGCATCAGAGTGCTATAAATGGTTACTTTTCCTCTCCCTTGGATATTTCTACCTTCACTGACCAAGAGAGTCAAATAGACTGGCAGAGACAGCTGCTACCTGAGACTATGGTGATGTTATCTGGTGTGTTCAGCCCATCTTGTCCTGTTTTAAGGACCTGTGTGATGAATGAGGCAGATTGGGCCCTACAGGTTTCATTGGTGGTTAAGAGATGAGAAGCCTCACCTTCAGACGCGAGACCACCCAGCACCTATCTGCAACTGTTTTCTAATTGCCTTTTTAACATCTGTCTTCTCCTGATGTGCTTTGTTTCCCCGTTTAAAAAATTTGTAATAAGTCTGTTCAGTGACAGAAAAATATAACTGAACCAAGTTGTCTACTGGTGTAAACCTTTTCCCTGATGTCATGAGGACAGTGATCTGTTCTGGCCTCAGAAAGCTGCCCCTGCTCCACCACTTCTTCCTGGTGTAGGCCCGGTGAGGACTTCGGGTGCTCCATTCTGACAGCTATGTCAAGTCTTCCCTACTTGTCCTCTTGGGCTTCTCCACAGCGTGCAGATACAGCGTTGTTCACCTAAAGCAACTTGGCTGCTTGTATGTTGTGACCGAGGTAAAACCGTTCTAATGCTCTCTTGATTTAACCCTCGTGTACTTTTAAATTAATTGCGTTTTTGGTGAAGGATTGTAAGCTGTACAAATTGCTTGCTGACATTGGTTACGTTCTTCATAATGTGTGAACATTCTCATTATAGGTTGTTAGGTGCCATCGAGTCAGTTCCGACTCATAGCGACCCTGTGTACAGCAGAACGAAATGCTGCCCGGTCCTGCGCCATCCTCACAATCGTTAGGCTTGAGCCCGTTGTTGCAGTCATTGCTGTGTTCGAGCCCACTGTTGTAGCCACCATGTCAATCCATCTCATTGAGGGTCTTCCTCTTTTTCACTGACCCTCTACTTTACCAAGCATGATGTCCTGCTCCAGGGACTGGACCCTCCTGATAACACGTCCAAAATTGTGTGAGATGTAGTCTCGCCATCCTCACTTCTAATGAGCATTCTCGACATACTTCTTCCAAGACAGATTCGTTCGTTCTTTTGGCCATCCACGGCATATTCGGTATTCTTCTCCAACACCACAGTTCAAAGGGGTCAAGTCAGTTCTTTGGTCTTCCTGATTGATCGTCCAGCTTTCACACGCACATGAGGCGATTGCAGACACCACGGCTTGGGTCGGGCGCACCTCAGTCCTTAAAGGGACACGTTTGCTTTTTAACACATTACAGAGATCTCTCACAGCACATTTGCCCAATGCGAATGCGTTGAGTTCTTGACTGCTGCTTCTGTGGGCGTTGATTGTGGATCCAAGGAAAATGCAATTCTTGACATCAGTCTTCCTTCCATTTATTTATGATGTTGCTTATCAGTCTAGTTGTGAGCATTTTTGCTTTCTTTATGTTGAGGTATAATCCATACTGAAGGCTGTAGCCTGTTATTTCCCTAATCCCCATGATCATATGGTCTGAGTTCTGTGTGGCCACTGTAACAAATGAGGGTTTTTTTGTACATCTTGTTAGTAATGTGCACTACATACAATGTTGCAACACGTACTTTGCTGTTATTCTACTTGCAAATACGGAGTGTTATGATACATAATGATACTGATAATAAAAGGCAATAATAATGAAAAACTAGAAAATTAGGTATTCAACTTATGTCAGAACCGACTTAAGACAGAGTCATCAGAATGGAACCCCATTCTAAGTCGGGGACTACCTGAATTTCCATTCTGGTCGTTCTGTTTCCATCAAACCCTCATGTGCTTTTAAGAGGCTGTCTTAGGGAGAAGGAATATTGTAATTTTTACTTATTAAACTTTACTTATTAAGTTTTTTAGTACTCCTGGTGTGCTTTCTAATTGTCAGTGATCTCAAACTAGCAGAGTAAACATCAGGTGCCATCAAGTCACTTCTGACTCATAGTGCAACAGAACAAACACTGCCCAGTCCTGTGCCATCCGCACAATCGTTGCTATGTTTGAGCCCATTGTTGCAGCCACTGTGTCAGTCCATCTCCTTGAGGGTCTTCCTGTTTCACTGGCCCTCTCCTTTACCAATCTTGATGTCCTTCTCCAGGGACTGATCTCTCCTGATAACACGTCCAAAATACATGAGATGAAGTCTCGCCATCCTCACCTCCAAGGAGATTTCTGGCTGTGCTGCTTCTAAGACATCTGTTCCTTCTGGCAGTCCTGGTATATTCAACATTCTTCGCCAACACTATAATTCAAAGGCGTCAATTCTTCTGTCTTTCTTATTTATTGTCCAGCTTTCACATGTATATGAGGTGATTGAAAATACCATCGCTTGGGTCAGGCGCACCTTAGTCCTCAAAGTGACATCTTCGCTCTTTAAAGAAGTCTTGCACCAGATTTGCCAAATGCAACACAGTGTTAGATTTCCTGACCGCTGCTTCCGTGGGTGTTGATTGTGGACCCAAGTAAAATGAAATCCTTGACAATTTCAATCTTTTCTCTGTTTATCATGATATTGCTTATTGGTCCAATTGTGAGGATTTTTGTTTTCTTTATGTTGAGGTGTAATCCATACTGAAGGCTGTGGTCTTTGATCTTCATCAGTAAGTGCTTCAAGTCCTCTTTACTATCTGCAAGCAAGGTTGTGTCATCTGCATAATGCAGGTTGTTAAGGAGTCTTCCTCCAATCCTGATGTCCGTTCTTCATACAGTCCAGCTTCTCAGATTATTTGCTCAGCATACAGATTGAATAAGTATGATGAAAGAATACAACCCTGACCCACACACCTTTCCTGACTTTAAACCATGCAGTATCCCGTTGTTCTGTTCAAACAACTGCCTCTTGATCTACGTACAGGTTCTTCATGAGCACAATTAAGTGCTGGAATTCCCATTCCTCTCAATTTTTTCCATAATTTATTATGATCCACAGAGTCTCACGCCTTTGCATAGTCAATAAAACACAGGTAAACATCTTTCTGGTATTCTCTGCTTTCAGCCAGGATCCATCTGACATCAGCAATGATATCCCTTGTTCTACATCCTCTTCTGAATCTGGCTTGAATTTCTGGCAGTTCCCTGTTGATGTACTGCCAGATTTTACTTGCATGTGATAATTAACATTTGATACTTTCTGCGTTCTGTTGGATCACGCTTCTTTGGAATGGTCACGTATATGGCTCTCTTCCAGTTGGTTGGCCAGGTACAGGTAGCTGTCTTCCAAATTTCTTGGCATAGACAAAGGAGCACTTCCAGCACTGCATCCGTTTGTTGAAACATCTCAATTGGTGTTCTCTGACTTCTGTCATTGGCCTTCTTTTTCGCCAATGCCTTCAGCGCAGCTTGGACTTCTTCAGTACTGTTGGTTCTTGATCATAAGCTACCTCCTGAAATGATGGAACGTTGACCAATTCTTTTTGTTACAGTGACTGTGTATTCCTCCCATCTTCTTTTGATGCTTCCTGCATTGCTCAATATTTTGTTCATAGAATCCTTCAATATTGCAACTCGAGGCTTGAATTTATTCTTCAGTTCTTTCAGCTTAAATGCCAAATGTGTTCTTCCCTTTTGGTTTTCTTACTCCAGGTCTTCGCACGTGTGGTTATAACACTTTGTCTTCTCAAGCCACCCTTTGAAATCTTTGCAGCTCTTTGATGTCATCATTTCTCCCTTTGGCTTTAGCTACTCGGACATTCAAGAGGAAGTTTCAGAGTCTCTTCTGACATCCATTTTGGTCTTTTCTTTCTTTCCTGTCTTCTTAATGACCTTTTGCTTTCTTCACGTATGATGTCCTTGATTTCATTCCACAACTTCATTAGCATTCAATGTGTCAAATCTGTTCTTGGGATGGTCTCCAGATTCAGGTGGGATATACTCAAGGTCGTATAAGGAATCTAGAGACCTTTATTTCCTATTTGATGTTTTTCCTTTATGCTTAGTTGGCTTCATGTTCTCTATCTCTCACAATCTTCAACTTGGGACCTGTCACCCTGACATGGGATCAGATACTCTGGTATCTTAAGGTGTTAATTAGGTAATGGAGGGAAAGCATCCCAAATTCAGTGATCTCTCCAAAATAATTGAGAGGAGAAAGGTTTTATGTAGCAAAGGAAGGTAGGTGTGGAGAATATGGACCGGCACTCTCACCTGAGTCGCTTCCCAGCCATGGGTTCCTGGGGTCCTGAGATCTCAGGCCCCAGCAGCTGGGTCTTCTGACTTGGCTCCTTGTTTCTTCCATTCGAAATGCTACCAGAACATGAGCCTCCCTGCAAGTCTCATCAGGAAATAGGTGAGTGAGTGCCCACGACAGTCTCCCATCTGGGCTAAGAGGACCCCCAGATGCTTTTTACATGGACACAAGCAATTGGGGTACAAAGGACTGGGGTTTTTACAGGGCACAGACGTTTATCATTTTAGTGGTTGCATCTCAGCTCTTCAGGGCTAATGTGATACCCACCTGCAGGAACAGAAGTGTCCGTGCTGTGGGGAGAGCTGGAGTATTCCATTTAGGACGCTTCAATCTGGGATGCCACACGTGGGTGGTGTGAAAACCGTGTCTTTTGAGAATAAGAGAAAGCTAAGAGAGGCTGTTACGATGAAGAAAGGAAAGGAGATCTGAGAAACATGTCACCATCAAGGCCAGTACAAACAGAATTGAGGACTGAAGTTCAGAGTAATGTCCCCATGAAGCAGAAACGAGACGGCCCTGTTAATACACGTGCCCACTATAATGAAACAAACAGGCCCCTCCCAACACGGAGACACCACAGAGGAGGCTGGTTTATTCTGGTCTCTAGATTCTAGGATTCTGTTCAGCTTGGGGGAGAGCCTTAACCCAGGAGAGACATACTATGTTGATGCTGTCGTCCAGTCAGCTTAAATGAACAGGGTCAGAATTTACCTTTTCAAAAGCTTGTGCAGGTGGAAACCCAACAAGTCACAAGGCCACTGGCATTTTAACAGCACATTTTTATTGCTTTTGAAGGTTTTCCTATAGCAGACATCCTATTGCACAGGTTGCATTTTGGCATTTTAGAAGGTTGCTGTTCCCGGTGAAGGTGAAGGAGCACAGGCTTTAGAAGGATAGGGCTCACTGCTAGCCCCACTGTGTGCACAATCTGATGAGGGATTGCATTTGGGGAGTACTTCTGACCCCCAAGAGATCCTTTTGAAATCCCGACCAATGGGGACCCATCTGTGGGAGCCTGAACAAGACGACTGAATCCTATTGGCCTAATTAGGGTAACTGCAGAGAGCTGGAAGCTGACACACAAAGCTAGCTGGAGTGACCCTGTTTGTCTTAAGAGCAAGAGAAATGGAGTTCCAAATGCGCAGATGAGGGGCACACAGTGGTTCACTGCATTCTGCAAGCTTAGTACACCCAGGAGACAGGCACCCACTGTGGAGAGCTGCATGCCTGGTCAAAGGCTTCTTGCAGTTTCTTGAGGGTCTCATCAACACCATTATGGACCAGCGAGAGGTCAAAGTAGTGAGCGTACTGGCTGCGGATGGCCTCGGAGTCCTTCTGCAGCTGCTGTAGGGCTTCTGTCTGCAGAGGAGAGAGAAAGCACCATGATGAAATAGGGCTTCCCAGCCGCCCTGGTAACAGGAGGGGCTGAATTTCCTGGTGCAGCAACCCAAGCCTTCTGAAGGTGAGAGCTGGGGCAAAGGAAACCACCAAACTGGTGGGGGTGGGGAGTCCGTATTAATGGACCCTTTCTGGGCACTGAAGCAGCGTGGGGAAAAAAGGCCTGGTTTAGGGCTTGAGAAAGCCCACTGCAAGAACTGAAGCCACAGCCATCCCTCATGTCTGAAGTTGGACGAGCTGTCAATCAATACGACTGCTATGGAGGTTGATTTGGTTATACCCATCAAAATTATACATGCGTACACTCTTGGACCCAGTCATCCTACATGTGGAAATATATTCTCCAGATTCCAACTGCAGTATTGTTTATGATAGGAAGTTTTGAAACAACTGAAATAAATACATTATGACATATCAAACCAATGAACCCGCTGCCATGCAGTCAATCCCGACTCATAGTGACCCATAGGACAGAATACAACTGCCCCACAGGGTTTCCAAGGAGTGGCTGGGGGATTCGAACTGCCGGCCTTTTGGTTAGCAGCCGAGCTCTTGACCACTGCACCACCAGGGCTCCATCTATAATGTTATATTGGCCTTTTATGAACAGGAAGTGCTCTACATACTGAGACGTTAAACGAAAACACAAGGTGTGGAAAAGGGGATGATCTGTATTTGTATAGTAAATGAATAAAGAACACTTGGAGGATACTGAACACACCTAGCAGTGGTTACCTAGTGGGTAGGGCTGGGTGTGGAGCAGGTTAAGAACTGGGTAGTGGGGGCCAAAGGGAAGAAGACTTGCAATGCATTCCTTTTCACTTGTTTGGAATGACTCACTGCAAACCTGGACCCCTTTCTCTCCTTCCTTCCCCTGCTGGTCCCACCCAAGCCCTCATCATACCAAACTGTCAGGATCTGCTTCACTGTCCACCTCTGAGCACCCCCAGAACAATGTGTTGAACTGATTCTGTCCCCATCACCTAGCATGGGCACTGCTGAATGAATAGAATGTACATGCCACCCTTTGGCTTCATGGCCTTGGAGAAAGGAGCCCGGCAGTAGCCAGGAGACTCATGGGAGATGTAATCACACATTAGAGCTAAGCCCCAGCCCCCACCTACTCTCCTTCCCACCTGAGTGCCCTGGTCAGTAGGTGCGATGAACACAATGAAAGGGGAAAGTTCTGCCGTCCGCACAATCTTCAGGGTCTGGAAAAAGAGGAAGGAAGCAAAGTATCTTAAGCAACTCAGAGCTCCCAGAAGATTCCCACAAGTTTTGCTTCTCAGCCCTCCCTTTCCCACCTCTTCTCTTTCCCACCACTTGCGTGGCCAAGCCCATCCACTCCTACCTTTTCATGCCTACTAACCTGGGGCTCAATGTCAAGAATGGCGATCTTGTCCTGCTTATGAATCTGATGCACTGTTTCAAATTTGGTACCAAACATATTGCCCTGGTAGCTGCCAAACTCCAAAAACTCATTGGCAGAGATATTCTTTGTCATCTCCTCAGTCGAGATGAAGTGGTAGTCCTTCCCATCTTCCTCACCCTTCTTGGGTGGCCGTGTCGTATCTGTGTACAAGAACCCAAATGCCCTGATGAACCTGGGTCCTTACCGTCCCTCAAACGCTTGGACCATGGTGTCTGTATTGAAAACTTGGCTGCCTCTGATGCAGTTTATTAGAGGGTTTATCCCATGGGATGCTAAAGATCTAATGATCAGAGGTGATGCATCCCAGGAAATCTGTCTTAAAATGCTCTTAAAAGCCACAGCATTTTCTATTACTCATATAGTTGTCCTGTAAGTAAACTAAGCTCCAGATATTGTAGCTTGAGAGAAACAATACTCCCAACTTGTCCTTCCTCTTTCCATCTTCCATTCAACATCTCCTTTGTCTTCTGTATCATCAACTTGTCTCTCTCAGTGGGCTCCTTCCCCTCAGTCTATAACCACACACGAGTCTCTTGCCATGTTATAAAACAACAACCTTCCTTTGACCCTAGCACTCCTCTCACTCCCTTCGTATTCAAGCTTCTTGTATGAGGATCCTGTATTGGTCATTTCTACTTCCCCCACTCACTCCTCAACCCAGGGCCATCTGCTTTCTGCTCCTGCTCTCAGTGGCCCATGAGTACAGTAGCAAAACAGAGAAGCAAAGAATCAAAAAATATGAATCTTATCAGGTTTTAGAATTCAGTTTTCTGCTTGAATTAGCAGTATCTCTCTGGGAATATATACAACTCTGCTCCACAAATTCACTTCTGGGAATGGAGGCATTATCTCATTTCCCACCTGATCACTGGCCCTATCCTTCTCTGTATCTACGACTGCTCCTGAGATTGTTTCCATCTTTCCTAAATACTGCTTTGGTTTATATGTTTCATGAAAATTAGAGGGAGAGCTAAGTAACTTATAGTACATCCATTCAATGCACTACAAAATAATTCTCAAAAATTAATTAGGCAGACAGTATCGGAACATGGAGAAATGTTTTAATAATGTATTACTTGCTTAATAGTTTTGAAATAGGATGAAAAAAACAACACTAGTTATTTTGTTAGTTGGAGAGATGATGGGTAAAAAATGCTTCCCTTTTTCATCTTTCCAACTTCTGTTTTTTAATAATCAAACATTTAAAGTAATAAAAAAAGACCACTGTGGTATCTCAGACTGAGCGGGTGCTAAATGTGATCAGATGTGCACAGAGCAGGGCCCCAGGAGCTACTTACACGGGGCAGGGTACACAAACTTCTCGGGATTCTGGCTGAGCAGGGCATTTTTAATGTGGCTGCGACCCACCCCACTGGCTCCTGTGAAGGGCGAGAAGAAAAGGGAGTGAGAGCAACCAGGCTGCTGTGATTCTCCAAAAACAAAGGTGGGAGTGGGAATGGGGCTGCCAAGTAGCTTCAAGCTTTGTTTTTCTTTACATGTGTGGGGGAACATATAACGCAGGCAGAGAAACATGGGCAGAAATGTGCTCTTTAACCAGCAATGTCGGGCTGACAAGAAATACCTATCAGCACCAGGGTCTTCCTCTTGAATGCGGGGAGTCGAACAACTTCTTCATAGGAAACAACATCCAACTGGTCAAAAACTAGAGAGAAAAGCAAAGCAATGTTCATTTCTCGTTCTGAGAGGATGCACAGCTAGTATGACTGAGACCCCTTTCTCTGTCTCTATGAGATATACCTAGCTCCTTCCAGGCCCGTTTCATCTGTCAGCTAGACCTTCAATTCCTTCTTCTCATCGAAAAGGCAGAAACTATTATGACGGAGGGATTCACTGAACACCATGCCCTGAACTCAAAACCCAGGAGCTGCTGGCAGTGGAAGCTCTAGAGAAGGCATTGTTGACCTCCAAGTATATCCCACTGTTTACCTTTAGAACCAGTAGAAAACCCAAACCCCTAGAACTCTGATTCCATCGAACCTTCAAATATAAATCTCCAGGGACACCTTTTGCCTAGCTGAGCAACTAATGCTATGCACGGTATATTTCGCCATGCAGAAGGTGTAATTGTCAACCTGGCCAGGGCTAATAGCTAAAAATGCTCAGAAACTATGGTTCATCAACAGCATATCATAAACATGGCAATGTGTAGTATACATTACCTAGAATTTTCAAATAAGAGGTTCATCCTAGTATTAGGCAAAAGTGGAAAAGCAGTTTGATTTCCACAGGCCATCCACTGTTTTTTTATTTCAGTAATCAAATTTTAAATTCCAAGAATGCTTTCTTGATCTCTGACTGCTACATTTCCGTGGGAGCCTGTTCTTGTCTTATGGATGCAAAATGCTCCCTAATCTTTCTGAGCATAATACTGTCTTTTCTTTAAAAAATCCAAAAACCAAATCCGTTGCCGCTGAGTTGATTCCAACTCATAGCGACCCAACAGGACAGAGCAGAACTGCCCCATAGGGTTTCTGAGGCTGTAGATCTTTAGGCAAGCAGACTGCCACATCTTTCTCCCATGGAGTGGCTGGTACGTTCGAACCGCCGACCTGTTGGTTAGCAGCCAGGCTTTTAACCACTGCCCCGCCAGGGCTCCGTCTTGACTCTAAGACACTATTAATTTTAACACACTTAGTTGCAGTTGTTTAGGGTTAAAAACACTATCACAGTAAATGCACCTATCAGCTGTAAGACACATTCTGATTTCAGGAATGGAAAACGGAATTTAGCATGAAAGAAATACGCCAAATAGAACTGTTTAAAAAGTCTTTGTCTGCTTCCCATATTAACTGTTTCCTCTGGCATCAGTTCCTCAAATGGAGCTCTTCTCAAATGCATGATGACTTTTGTTGTCTGTTTATGTTTATAAACTAGGCTAGATAGGCCAGCAACTGGAGCTGACTTCCTAGCACATGCAGATGATGACCCCAGGCTGTGGATTTGGTCATCGAGAGTTTCCCTTCAGAAGGAAGCTTGTCTTCTAGGTACGAAGGCTCTGTGCTGGTTAAAGCACTACAAACTGCCCTCGATATCACCCTGCTTCTCCTCACTGCAAACCCCCCACTACAGTAAGAGAGCAATTCTTAGTTTTATCCAGGGGGGCAGCAGCCACAGCCTGCTTTTTTGAGACCTGGAACTGGCACAGCTGTGTTACAATATTTGAACTGCCCTGCAAGCTGCTTCATGGCTCACACCCAGCCCATACTATCCCTGATTTGGGGGTCTTCCTTCATTTCAGCGGAATTTTGCAAAGAAACAAGGGAACTCTGTGACTTCGTCAGCCATCCTGAACCCAAACTCCAACTCTCTTGATGTTTGTGACATCACTTTCAGTTTTACTGTTTACTTCTTCTTGGTCATCCTCATGGATTTCCCTCCCGCCCCCCGTTACCCCTGATGTGTTGGTTTAGTTCTCGTGGACTCATATTTCATCTTTCTGACCTCACGTCTGTATCAGTGCCTCCAGCTTGGCAGCCCTTCCTGGTAAGTGTGGGGTTCAGGAAAAAGGGGATCATCCTACAGTCTGGCCAAAAAAAGAATAGGAAGGCTTGAATGTTTTTCAAAATTAAAAATTGGAGGAAAATTAGAGAACACAGGGGAAGGGTGGGAAGGGGGAGAGAATATGTACTTGCTGAATAGCACTGTATGTCAGACAAGATGCTAGGTGTTTAATACATATTTTTTTCTATTTAATGCTTATAAGACTAAGGGATAGGCATTATAATCTACATTTCACAGAGGTTAAGTGGCTTGTTCCCTCCACACATGACTTCTGCCTCTTGCAAAACTCTGCCTTCAGGCAGCTCCCAGTCTAGAAGAGGAGAGGGACAAGAAGCAAACCCACAAACATCCAACTGATCTTGTTCTTTGCTCACCGCTACCGGAGTGATGCAAATGAAAACCTGACCAAATCCATCTACTGTTGAAAACTCTTCAGAGACTATATTTTAAAATGAAAAACACTAAGGATAGATTAGGGAAAAAAATCAGTGCAATAATACCATCTAACTTCATTTTGTACTATGTACAATAAACCTTGCTTGAGGTGTACATGAATTCAAGCTGATTCTTCTTGGAAAGATAAATTTCTATAAACCGAGTCTCATTTTTATAGTCTTTTATTATTAAAACAAAATAAAAACATCTTTCTCTTTGCCATGGAATGTATTTGTAATCCAATTCACTGCCTAAGTGGCATTTTGGAACTGATAGTACTGAAGGAAGAGTTCCAAGCTGCACTGAAGGCATTGGTGAAAAACAAGGCTCCAGGAGTTGACAGAATACCAACTGAGATTTTTCAACAAACGGATGCAGTGCTGGAAGTGCTCACTCGTCTATGCCAAGACAACTACCTGGCCAACTGACTGGAAGAGATCCATATTTATGCCTATTCCCAAGAAAGGTGATCCAACTGAATGTGGAAATTATCAAACAATAATATCATTAATATCACACACAAGTAAAATTTTGCTGAAGATCATTCAAAAGCGGCTGTGATAGTACATTGACATGGAACTGCAGAAGTTCAAGCCGAATTCAGAAGAGGACATGGAATGAGGGATATCGTTGCTGATGTCAGATGGATCATGGCTGAAAGCAGAGAATACCAGAAAGATGTTTACCTGTGTTTGATTGACTATGCAAAGGCATTCGACTGTGTGGATCATAACAAATTATGGATAACACTGCGAAGAATAGGAATTCCAGAACACTTAATTCTGCTCAGGAGGAACTTGTACATAGATCAAGAGGCAGTCATTTGAACACAACAAGGGGATACTGCGTGGTTTAAAGTCAGGAAAGGTGTGCATCAGGGTTGTATCCTTTCACCATACTTAATCTGTATGCTGAGCAGATAATCCAAGAATCTGGACTCCACGAAGAAGAAAGGGGCATCAGGATTGGAGGAAGACTCATTAACAACCTGTGATATGCAGACGACACAACCTTGCTTACTGAAAGTGAAGAGGACTTGAAACACTTACTGATGAAGATCAAAGACTACAGCCTTCAGTATGGATTACACGTCAACATAAGGAAAACAAAAATCCTCACAAATGGGCCAATAAGCAACACCACGATAAATGCAGAAAAGACTGAAGTTGTCAAGGATTCCATTTTACTTGGATCCACAATCAACACCCATGGAAGCAGCAGTCCAGAAATCAAACGGCACATTGCATTGGGCAAATCTGTTGCAAAAGACCTCTTTAAAATGTTGAAAAGCAAAGGTGTCACCTTGAAGACTTAAGGTGCGCATGACCCAAGCCATGATGTTTTCAATTGCCTCATATGCATGCGAAAGCTGGACAATGAATAAGGAAGACTGAAGAAGAATGGATGCCTTTGAATTACAGTGTTGGTGAAGAATACTGAATATACTACGGACTGCCAGAAGAACGAACGAATCTGTCTTGGAAGAAGTATAGCCATAATGCTCCTTAGAAGCAAGGATGGCAAGACTACGTCTCACATACTTTGGACATGTTATCAGCAGGGACCAGTCCCTGGAGGAGGACATCACGCTTGGGGAAAGTAGAGAGTCAGTGAAAAAGAGGAAGACCCACAACAAGATGGACTGACACAGTGGCTGCGAGAATGGGCTCAAGCACAGCAACGATTGTGAGGATGGCGCAGGACCGGGCAGCATTTCACTCTGTTGTACACAGCGTTGCTAAGAGTCAGAATCCACGCGGCAGCACCTGACAACAAGTGGCATTTTATTTTATGGCAGGTTGTTCATAAATACATGTATTTTTTAAGTGTGAAACCCCTTTTTAACAACAAAATATCGTGGGTTTTCACATGATGGTAATTACACTTTTAGTGTCTTGACCAAAAGCTACTGTGAACACAGAAATGCTTTTAAATATACAGATTTTTCCATTTATTACAATAATATCTACATTTAAAAAATAACTTTGCAAGATGCTTGGTGTATGTATGAATTTGTGGAGCTCTTGCAATGCAGGTTGAAAACGGCTAATATATAGAATTACTGAAAAGAAGCTATCTTTTAGGGGATTTCCTCTTTAAAACAGAAGCATAAGGAACAAACTTTTTAATGTATTAAAATATGTAAATATATTTTGTTCAGAGTGCCAATGAATGCTTATTTTGAACAAAAAGCTTTGCTGCTATAAGTCTACACCTTGTCTTTCCATGTTTAGGAAGTCTACCTAGCCACATCTGTCTGTCTACCTGTCTATAATCTCTCCATAGAGAGAGAGAAAGCAAATGGGGCAAGAGGTTAACAGGTGGTAACTTTTCTATAAATTTAAAATTATTCAAAATAAGGACTTTTTAAAAACCTAAAAAAATATAATAAATGAAAATAAAACACTAGGGATGGCACTGAGGCCCCCAATGATCTGGCCTGAGTTCTCGCCCACGTCTCCTCTCCTGCCGTCGACACTCCAGCCACGTCTACTTCCTTGTTATGCGATTTGCTCCAACAGAATGGAGGCATTTAATAAGTGGTAGCTGAATGGTAGATTGGTATTCATGTTTTAATCCGAAATCTGTTTGAACCGATTTATAATTTTAATATATTGCACTTCCAACCACTGTAGGTAAAAAACAAATCCAAAACGAGCTCTCAGGAAAACACACTATTCTCTGGGGTTGCTCGAACCTGGCAGCTGGGTCGTGCTGATGGTGCTGACAAGCTGCTCCTGGCCTGAGCACAGGTTATCTGAGGGGCAAGGAGGATGCGCAGGTACGGGAAGATCACTAGCTTTTCTTCACATCTACTGGCATTGTTCCTTCCACTGACTACAGCGAGTGTGTGAAACTTTCTTTCTTGTTAAAGATGGACTTAATTAAAGAAAGACAATTATGAAAACAGACAATGTGAAGGAAAGAGAAGATGCCCAAACACAGGGAATCACACTGACAGAAGACCCAAAATACTCCACTAAGTACAAACCATAGACATAGCAGATCCTTGACATTCATGAACAATGCTTTCTGAGACTTTTGCAGTTTCCCAAATTCTCAACTACTACTGTAATATACAGCTTTTCCTCTAAAATGACATACACTAGAAAGTAAAGGCTTTCAGTAGATTAAAAGTCCCACTGAATACTGTACCCAAGGGTAGTATCACCCCTTGGCTGCGATTAAAGAGATTGGCAAATACACTAATGCATGCTGCCGGGAGCCTGGAGACTCAAGACACCCAGAAAGCGTACTTGAGCTGTGCTTTGCCAGATACTTGTCTTTGTACTTCTTCTTCTTCCCAAAGGGACTGCAACTTGGGGCTTCACTTGGAGCTGACTGAGCCACACTCGCCACTCGCCTAGTAGGAAAAAGACGACAGTAGTCAGAGGATCCTCAGTGACTGCGGCTCTGGGACCCCCACCCCCGCCCCCGCCTCAACTTTCCTTTGTACACTAAACATCTAGGATTGATCACCTGTGAAACCACATTCAGTCTCCCACAGGGTCTCCAAACACTAAGTCAAATGAGGTTTTCTCTGCTACTGACTGCTATGAAAACAGAAAAGGGTCCGCCATTAGCTTCTCTTTGCAGCATGCCCAGTAGATGACGATGAGAGCTGTGCAGTAAAGGATTAACCTGACCCAAAGAAGGGTTTGGCCCTTGTTCCTGGGAAGTGACCTCGAAGCCCTCAGAATATCCTGCCTGGTAAGAGTTTTTGTTTACCTGGGGCCTTGGTCCACCCCAGAGAGTCTACACCAACAATGGGATTTATGGTGGGGCATGGCGGATAGTCTATGTTAGTAACGTAAGCAACTGTCCATACAGCTACACTGGAAAAGGACAAGCAGAAGCTCTCCTGGACTCTGCCCACGGCCTCTTCCCTCTGCTGATTTTAGTCTGTGCACAGGAATGCTTTTCCTTGTCTACTGCATCAGCTTCTTAGCACACAGACATACAAACTAATCTCTCCCGTTTTAAAAAACACAAAACCAAAACACCACTTCTTGACACTGCTTTGCTAATACATCCTTTCTCCCCTCCCTTTAGAGAAAAACCTCAAAAGGGCTGTCTGTACTCCCCTATCTCTTGAACCTGCCCCAGGCTGGCTTCTGCCCACCCACCACTAAGTGGCTCGAGTTCCTGGGGCCCTCCGTGTTGAAAAACCTACTGGTCCCTGCTCTAGCCTCCTTGGATGGCCCCTCAGTGGCCTCCAAGCAGCTGGGTGCTCACAGCCCCAATATCGTGGGTTCTCCAGATGCTGGGTCTCCAAGGCCTCCTCTTTCTCTCTCTCCCTCTGTTTCCTGTGTGTGTGTCTGTCTGTCTGTCTGTGTATTTCTGTCTCACACCCCTCTCTGTGATTCTCTCTCTCAGGTACCCTTCTCAGACTGTCGTCTGTCCATCTCTGTCTGTCTATTTCTCTCTGTGTCTCTCTCTGTGTGTGTCTCTGTGTGTCTCTCAGCTCCTCCATCAGATCCTCTCTCCACCTACCCTCTCTCTGTTTCTCTGACCTCAGGATACTAAGGACCAGATGCTAAGGAAATGCTATACAAGCTCCTTTATCTGGAACTCACCGCTGACCCACTTATGCCCATTATGTCAGGGAAGCCAGGTAGAGAAACAGAAGCCACCCACAAGATCACACAATTTTGAAGGTAAGCGATTATTTGTGGCAGGCACGTGCTCCCTCCACTTGCAGATCCCGCCCATATAAAAGCGGCTCACCATTCTTGCAGCTCAGGGGAAGGGATCAATCCCGCTGACTCCTTGGAGGAGCCTTCTACCCGCCCTTGCCACCAGTTGCTATCATCCTTGTTGATGATCTGGACGATGTCTCCAGTCACGAACTTCAGTCCTGCCTCCTTGCAAGGGATCAGATTGTCCTTTTTGGGATCATAGTCAAATTGCGCTCTCATAAACATCTGAAAAAGAAGGCCAAGGTGAACTGCAGATGGTCCTGCTGCAAATAAATAGGGTCAGGATCAAAAGACAAATCATTTCCTCTAATTTTCTCAGAGTCTCATTCTCCAGAATTAGTTGCAAACTTGAAATACTCTCAGCAGGCACCAACTTGGTCTTGGCAAGCAAAAGCTCAAAAGCACTGGGGTCCCCCATCAGCCATGGGCTCCACCTGAATGCAATCAAGAAATGAGTCCAGATGAGGATGATGATGGGTCAGGGCCTAAGCGGTTCTTCATGCCCACCAAGTCTCAGAGGAAGACTATGGGAGATGTGGGTGGAATCATCATCCAAGAGCAGGCCACCCCTAATTGTGCTGCATTTCATGAGCTGCTACAGGCCGCTAGCATGTTAAACCTGAGAGAGCCTTCCTAGAGGGCAGTTTGGCAACATGAATACACCAAACATCTCCAAACACTAATTTCCCCTGGCCCCGCATTCTACTTCAAGGCATTTATCTGACATAAGTAAAAACAGTTGTCAAAAGAGATATATTGTTAAGTATGTTACAGTTTTTAAGACTGAAATATTGAAAACAACCTCATCTTCCAAGAATGGGGAACTGGTTAAGTTATGGATATCTGATCAGTCAATCTGCTCATAGAATGTGACACTACGACGGCTAGGAGCTTGAAAGTTTACCAACAATGACCGGAAATCACACTTGAGGTCAACGTAAAACTTTAAGTATATTGTATTTTTACATTCCCATATACCTATGACCTTACTGACTTAAAGGATTATCAATCAATACTCACCATAAATAATTTAAAAAGCCTCAAAGAATATGGACAAGTAGAACACCACGATCAAAAACTTAACCTATCTGGGGTGGAAAGGAGGAGTGTGCTGTCGCAGTACAGGGAGAGCAGTTCGGGTCACATAACAATGTATGGATAAAGTTTGGTATGGGAGATTAACTTGACTTGTAAACTTTCACTTAAAGCACAATAAAAAAAAAAAAAGAAAAAGAAAGAACCAGGAAAAAAAAAAAAAAAAAAAACAAAACCTAATGGCTAAGTACTGCACACTTGCAGGATACACTTTTTTCTTTCAACCACACATGCAACATTTACCAAATCCAACAAACTTCAAAGGATCGGAACCATACCGTTTGTTCTCTGACAACACTACAATTCAGCGTTAGGGTGCTTTAGGCAGTGCTCAGAAGGCAATTCCCAACAACCCAAGATTCCAACCCAAAGGGAGAAATAAGTGAAACAGAAAATAAATTTAGAGTTGAGGATTAAGTCAAAACTGGTTCTTTGCAAAGGTTCATGAAATTAGGAAGCCCTTAGGAAGGCTGAGGAGCCCTGACGGTGCAGTGGCTAAGAGCCTGCCTGCTAACCAAAAGGTCAGCAGTTCGAATCCACCAGCCACTCGTTGGAAACCCTACTAGGGTCCTATAGGGTCGCTGTAGTTGGAATTGACTGGATGGCAACGGGTTTTTCGTTGGTTTGTTTTAGCAGGGCTGATTAGGAAAATAGAGAAAATACAATTTACTAGCGGAGACCAGGAGAGATCCTAGAGATATTAAAACAGACCATAAGAGGATACTATAAATAATTTCGCACCAATACATTTGACAAATTCCTTGAAAAATGCAACTTACCAAACTGGCACAACAAGAAATTGAAAATATGTATCCATTATTTATTGAAAACCCGCCCTCAAAAAACACACAGACACATACACACCACGCCCTGGTGGCTTCCCTGGTAAATGTTTCCAAACATTATTCCGTATTTGAATAAGGCTAATCTTCCATAAACACTTACAGATTATCAAAGAAGGGATGGTGCTTCCCAACTCAGCAACAGAGATATAAAAATCCTAAACAAAAACATCAGTAAATCAAATGCAATTTATAAAAAGGATAATAAATCACAGCCAAATGGCATCTAGTCTAGCAATGCAAGAAGATGTAATATCTAAAGATCAATGATTTCACCACATCAACAGAAGAATGCAAAAATCATATGATCTTCTTAATAGATGCAGAGCAAGCATTTCATAAAATCCAAAACCCATTCCTGATTAAAATTCTTAGCAAATGTAGAATACAAGGGAGCTCCTTTCATCTGGTGAAGAATATCTACCAAAAACCTATAGCCAACACCATACTTCAAGGTAAAATATTAAAAGCTTTCCCTTTAAGACTGAGAACTAGCCAAGGATGTCTGCTATCACCACTTCTACTGTAATCCTGTGAGGATGTCAGTTCTCCTCATATTGATCTACAGGTTTAACGTGGGGCTAAACAGTCCAATGAAACACAATACGTGATTTCTGACAAAGGTGATACAGCAGGACAACAGGGGAGTTGTTTCAATAACTGATGCTGAGTTAACTGATATCCGCGTGGAAACACTGGATGCTTGACCCCTTACCTTCCTCCATACACAACGACCCACTGCAGATGGGATGTAGAGCCAAATGTGAGGAAATAAAACAGAAAAAACCGAAACACAGAGTATCTTCTGGAACTTGTGGTAAGTGAAATTTTTTAAAACAAGACATAAAAAGTGCTAATCACAAAAGGAAAAAGGTGGTAGACAGGATTTCATTAAAATGAACAGTTTCTATTCATTATTAAGAAAATAAAAAGGCAAGCCACAGAGTAAGACAACCTATGACAAAGGATGCTTATCCAGAATGTGTAAAGAACTTTGACAAATACATCAGTTATAAAAAAGACCTTGAACAGGTACTTTACAGAAGAGGATATCCAAATGGAAACTGCATATATAAAAAGCTTACCCTCATAAGTCATCGGAGAAATGCAAATTAGATCACGCGATTAAAAACCACTACACACCTACCAGGAATCCTGGCAGTGCAGTGGTTAAGTGCTTGGCTTCAAACCCACCAGCAGCTCCACGGAAGAAAAGACCTGGCAATCTGCCCCCGTAAAGATTACAGCCTAGGAAACCCTATGAAGCAGTTCTAGTCTGTCCTGCAGAGTTGTATGATTCAAAATCCACTCGATGGCACAGAACAACTTTGGAAAACTGTCTGGCAGAATCACACCCTACGACCCAGCAATTCCAATTCCAGGTGTACGTTGTTGTTTGTTCAATTACGACTCATAGAGACCCCATGGGTTACAGAGTAAAACTGCTCCATAGGGTTTTCTTGGCTGTAATCTTAGCAGAAGCAGCTTAGCAGGCCTTTTCTTCTGTGGTGCCGCTGGGTGGGTTTGAACCACAATCTTTAGGTTAGCAGTCAAGTGCAAACCATTTGTGCCACCTAGGGACCTTTCCAGGTATATACCCGGCAGAAATGCATAATACGTGCACCAGAAGACATACACAGAAGGCTCACAGGAGCATTACTTGTAAGAGCAAAACAGCTGGAAACCCGAAAGTCCACTATCAACAGAATGGATGAATAAATTGTGGTGTGTTCACACAATGAATGAATGAGAATCATCCGTTGCTACATGCAACATGGATAAATCTCACAAAAATAATACTGAGTGAAAGAAATGAGACACAAGAATTTCTTCCAGGTGTTCTTCAGTTACATGGGTATGTTCACTTTGCAAAAAACCCATCTAATTTTATACTTATGAGTTGAGCACTTCGTTGTACACAGTCTCATACAAAAACATTAATGAAAAAAGCTTACTTAAAAAGAAAATTGTACCATCACACTACAAGTAACCTGGGATTGAAACTTCAGAGTTATGTTTTCAAAACCCCTTCTCCTTCCACATTGATCTGCCAAGGTTCTGTCTGGTCTATTTCTGAGCTGCCCGTTTCTCTTGTGTAACCTCCGTCTTCCAGCACACTGATCTGTACAGGGTAGACCCTCAATGAATTTTGAGTAAGTGTTCAAAAGTCTCTCTCTTTTCTTTCTTTCTTTATTTTGGCAAGATTCATCACTGGACTTTCTTAATATTGTTGTTAAAAATTTTTGCCAATTTGCTCGGTAAAAACTGGTATCTCCGACACATTTTAATTTGCACTTCTTTGACGACTGGTAAGATGGAATATTTGTTCATATGGCCAATGACCATTTATATTTTTCCTTCTGTGAATGGTCTCTTCCTTCGCTTTGCCCATCTGTGGTGTCACACACCTCAAAGAAAGTGGAATGAGCTGTTGTTTTCCCCTTTCATTTTCCATTTAAGAAATGTCTAGGGGGAATAAATAAGGACTAAAATGTGGAAGCCAGAAACCAATGCTATACACATATTGTCCCACTTTCTCACATCTGATATTTGTTTGGGAGTACAGAGAGCACCAGGCAAGGAATAATGGGACCCTGACTCATGCTGTTAAAGTTCTTCTATTGTGAATATTTAGAACTTAAAGTTAGACTCACATCTCTTTCAATCAAATCTCAAAGAACCACAATATAACACTGGTCCTGAATCCAGCCATCATCACAACTGGCACGAAGCCACAGCGCCACCTACCTGTAGTGCAGGAAGCCGGTTTTGCTGGTTAGGAATTACTTTTAATGAGATCATTCCTTTGGTTTCTTTCTATTTAAAAAAAAAAAAAACGGGAGAGGGGACAAAATTGTTAGAACACTAACTTGGATGACTCTGGATTTCGTAAGGTCATTTTCTGCCTTCTAAAAGCCCCAGATTTTTTTCAAAACAGCCACCTTTACATTTTGAAATTCTGTAGGACCGCCCCCCTTCACTCGGAAAGTGACATGTGCCTCCACAAACCAGCGTAACAACATAAACACATACAAAGTAAAAGCAAGAAAAAGCTAATTATCTTCCCTCCTTCCCACACTCAGCCCCAAAAAGTACCCAGAAGGATCTAAAATGAAGTCTGGCATGAATACATCCACATCTTTCTCCACGACAAGAACAGCATTTGCAAATATGTACATATTTACACACACACACACACACGTACCCGTGCATACACATATATGTAATTTTTTGTTTTTTAAACAAAAATGGAATTAGACCACATCCATTACTCTGTAACATTGAGTCGATTCCAACTCATGGTGGCAGTGTTGTTGTTCGGTGCCCTCTGAGTCGGTTCTGACTCACAGCGACCCTCTGCACCACAGAACCAAACACTGCCCGGTCCTGGGCCATCCTCACAAAGGTTGCTATGTTTGAGCCCATTGTTGCAGCCATTGTGTCAGTCCATCTCTTTGAGGGTCTTCCTCTCTTTTCACTGACCCTCTACTTTACCAAGCATGATGTCCTTCTCCAGGGACTGGTCCCTCCTCCACTTTCTTGTATTTTTATGTGTTTTTCTATTTTTATGATGATTGTATTTTTGTTGTTGAGAATATACACAGCAAAACATACACCAATTCAACAGTTTCTGCATGTAGACAATTCAGTGACAATGATTATATTCTTTGAGTTGTGCAACATTCTCACCCTCCTTTTCTGAGTTGTTCCTCCCCCATTAACATAAACTCACTGCCCCCTAAGGTACCTATATAATCTTTCGAGTTGCTGTTGTCAGTTTGATCCCATATAGATAGTATGATGGTGTAATTATATAGAAATAGATGGCTAGGTAGTATTTATATATGTATTTGCATATTTACATACAAGCTAGCTGGAGGATGTGAGGGAACCAATTCCTTACTTTGAAACTGGTAAATAAAGAGAAAGAATGAAGCACTTCTCCTGCGTTTCCTACATGAACTGTACCACTGGGTAACCAGACGGTAAATTAGGGGAAAGTTTCTTTGTAGAAGTAGTCTAACTAATAAATGAGGAAGAGATGCTAGAATTAGAATATTGCTATTTTGCAGTTTCTAATGCCACAGGAAGCAACAAAAGAAGATGGAAAGAATACACAGAGTCCCTGTACCAAAAAGAACTGGTCGATATTCAACATTTTCCAGAGGTAGCACATGATCAGGAACCGATGGTACTGAAGGAAGAAGTCCAAGCTGCACTGAAGGCACTGGCGAAAAACAAGGCTCCAGGAATTGACGGAATACCAACTGAGATGTTGCAACAAACAGATGCAGCACTGGGAGTGCTCACTAGTCTATGCCAAGAAATTGGGAAGACAGCTACTTGGCCAACCCACTGAAAGAATTTCATATTTGTGCCCACTCCAAAGACAGCTGATTCAACCAAATGTGGAAATTAGTGAACAATATCATTAATATCACACACAAGTAAAATTCTGCTGAAGATAATTAAAAAATGGTTGCAGCAGTATATCAACAGGGAACTGCCAGAAATACAAGCCAGATTCTGAATAGGAGGTAGAACAAGGGATATCATTACTGAAGTCTCAATGATCTTGGTTGAAAGTAGAGGATACCAGAAAGATGTTCACCTGTGTTTTATTGATGCAAAGGCAGTCAACTGTGTGGATCATAACAAATTATGGATAACATTGTGAAGAGCGGGAATCCCAGAACACTTAATTGTGCTCATGTGGAACCTGTACTTAGACCAAGAGGCAGTCATTTGAAAAGAAAAGAGAATACTGCATGGTTTAAAATCAGGAAAGATATGCGTCAGGGTTGTATCCTTTCACCATACTTATTCATTCTGTATGCTCAGCAAATAATCCAAGAAGCTGGACTATATGATGAAGAACGCAGCATCAAGATTGGGGGGAGACTCATTAACAACCTGGGGTGTGCAGATGGCACAACCTTGTCTGCTGAAAGTGAAGAGGATTTGAAGCACTTACTAATGAAGATCAAAGACCACAGCCTTCAGTATGGATTACACTTCAACATAAAGAAAACCAAACTCCTCACAACTGGGCCAAAAAGTAACATCATGATAAACGGAGAAAAGATTGAAGTTGTCAAGGATTTCATTTAACTTGGATCCACAATCAACACCCATGGAAGCAGCGGTCAAGAAATCAAAAGACGCACTGCACTGGGCAAATCAGCTGCAAAAGACCTCTTGAAAGTGTTGAAAAGCAAAGTGTCACCTCGAAGACTAAGGTGAATCTGACCCAAGCCGTGGTGTTTCTAATCATCTCATATGCATGCAACAGCTGGACAATGAATAAGACCAAAGAAGAATTGATGCCTTTGAATTATGATGTTGATGAAGAATATTGCATATACCATGGACTGCAAGAAGAAGGAACAAATCTGTCTTGGAAGAAGTACAGCCAGAATGCTCCTTAGAAGCAAGGATGCCAAGACTATCTGTCACATACTCTGGACATGTTGTCAGGAGGGATCAGTCCCTGGAGAAGGACATCATGCTTGGTAAGTAGAGGGTCAGGGAAAAAGAGGAAGACCCTCAATGAGACAGGTTGACACAGTGGCTGCAACAACGGGCTCAACCATAACAATGATTGTGAGGATGGCGTAGGACCAGGCAGCATTTCGTTCTATTGTACATAGGGTTGCTATGGCTCGGAACCAACTTGATGGCACCTAACAACAATAACAACAGAATAAAGTGGAGCTCAGATTCAGCGCCGTTACAAAAGACTGGGGTCTTCTAACGCCCCGTCTGATGTTCTTTCCATTACACCAGATTGATGCTCTGAGTTATTTGCCCTGTTTTAGAAGTTTACTAAATGAGAGAAGAGAATTATCATCTCTGTCACAGAACAAAGATTAGCAGTGATAAAACCCCCTAAATAAGGTACAAATACTTTCATAGAAAAATAAGGTACATTGACACCAATATGGACCAACGCTTCATGAAGACGAGAAGATCTTTATCCAACATAGAAAATACCTACCATTGCCTTCTGTAGCTGATCAACTGAGTGATTAGTCACATTTGTACCATTGATTTCTAGGATCTCATCCCCCACGTGAAGTGAGCCTGCCACGAAATGAAAAATCAATCCACAAAAGAATAAAAGATCAAACAAGTGCTGTCAATATAACTTGAGATACCATAGAAAAGAAACAATCCAGAGCGCTGTATTAAGTAGATTGTGAGAAATACTCCAGATTGCAAACATTCAACCATGAGAGTTGGGAATATCCTTTGGAGTCCCTCAAGTAATGTATCAGGGCAAGCACTTGACGGTTGAAGACCATCTCATTGTTCTTGACCTCTGTACTCCAACAACAGACAATAAGCACCTCATCCTCAAAGTCTCCGCAGACTCTAGGAGACTAGACACACCTACACATACTAAAAAGAACAACAAAGCAAGGTATTTATCATTCACCAGGAAGTTCAAGTTTTCTTTGTCGTTTAGATAACACACATTCTACCAAATAGTAAAGTCAATCAAATGTTTAGATCCCATGTGAAGAGTGGTTACCAATATCTGTGCTACCCTGGCTACAAAGAATGTCTTAACTAAACACAAAGGGGTAGGAGGTAGCGGGGTAGGAAAACTACCTCTTTTTGAGCGGCCGTGACCACAACACTGGAAAAGTTCTAGGCAGGGCTCAGAGCAAGGTATAAATCAGGGGGGCAAATATCGGCTATTGTCAACTCCTAAAAACATGCTGTATTTTATTAGTTTGCTCTCTCACCACCCCCCACTTACTAAATGATGCATTTGAAAATTGATGGCAACGTAACATTAAGGAAATACAGTAATTACATATGATTATTTGTTTAGTGTCTATTTTCTCTGTTAAACTGTTAGCTTAAGGAAGGCAGAGGTGGTCTCTTTTATTCACTGCTATATAGTCAAAGTCTAACGCAACGGGTGGCATGTAGTCATTGGTCAAATGTTAACTAACTGGGCAACTCTCAGTATAAGCAGGTGTATGAGAATGCTCAGAGAGAAAGAGAGTAGCACTGAACAGTTCATACTGGGATCTTACGATGCAATTCTTCTCGGGAGCTAGCTGTTAAAATCCCTTGGCACACATACAAAAATGCTGCCAGTTTTGAAGAATATAAGCTTCATATCGCACACCACTGAACAGGGAGTAAATGATTAATCTCTGAATAAAGCACAGCCTAGGACCCCCTGCAGAGTACCTTGTCTATGAATCATGCCTCCATGAAGGATTCTGGCCACCGTACAGGACTGTTTTTCATTCAGCTTCAGAGTGATTCCCTGTAATAAAGGCAATGGTACAGCAAGCTTATTATCTTTCAAACAACTTAAGGTGATTTCTCAGGAAAAATATTTTCCACCTATACCTGGGACAGTCCTCAATTAGCATAGGCATGAGGCCTGGTTTAAAAAGAAGAGGCTTGAGATGGGGATGAAGAGACACAAAGAGCTGACTGCCTGCCTCGCTCCGTGAGCAGCCTTCTCTGTTTTCTCTGGTGGCCTGTGACAATATGACAACAGATTTACCATGGGCTCCTCTGTGACCTTCTCAAACTGTATGAGTCGCACTTTCCGCACTTCCTGCCCTTTGGCAGGGCTCCCTGGGGCAGCAGACCCGTTGGTGTACATGTCCTCAGTCACAGCATTCAACTGGCGTGACACAGCCTGTCAAGTCAAAACAACAGAGCAATGGATGAAATACAAAGGAAAGGCTCCCACTTGGTCCCTCATCTGCAATGCTAAAATCCATAAAGCTCTGTAAACAAACCAACGGGTATTTCAAAAGTTTGGCATCCAATGGTCTTTCTTTCTTTTTTCATTTACTATCTTTTAAAATTTTATTTTGTTCTTGTTGCGAATACACAGCAAAACATACACCAATTCACCAGTTTCTTCATGTACAATTTGGTGACACTGATTGCATTCTCTGAGTTGTGCAACCATTCTCACCCTCCTTCTCTGAGTTGTTCCTCCCTCATTAACATAAACTCACTGCCCCCTAAGTTTCCTATCTATTCTTTCGAGTTGTTGTCAATTTGATCCCATTTAGTTCTTAAAAGAGCAGAATGTCCAAGGCAGACATTTTTTGCTACTTAAGCTAAACTATTTGGTTTAAGATGACTGCGGGTTATTTCTGGTGTAAAAGATTGTCTCAGAGCCATAGTTTCAGGGGTTCATCTACCCTCCATGGCTCCAGAAAGTCTAGAATCCATAAGAATTTCAAATTCTGTTCTGCATTTTCCCCCTTTTGATCAGGATTCTGCTATGGAATCTTTGTTCAAAATGTTCAGTAATGGTAGCCGGGCACTATCTAGTTCTTCTGGTCTCATGGCAAAGGAGGCAGTTGTTCCTGGAGGCAGTTAGCCACACATTCCATATCCTCCTCCTATTCCTGATGCTCCTTCTTCCTCTGTTGCTCCAGATGAATAGAGACCAATTGTTGTGCCTTGGATGGCTGCTAGCAAGCTTTTAAGACCCCAGGCACTACACAATGAACTAGGAGGTAGAACAGAAGCATTAAACATGTTATTAGGCCAATTAACTGGGATGTCCCATGAAACTATGTCCCTAAACCTACAAACCAAGTACCATGAGGTTTCTGGTTGTACATAAGCAGCCTCAGCTGCTACTCTTTTTTTTTTTTTTTTTGTCATCGTAACTATATCTATCACACAACTTTTGCCAATTCAACTTTTTACAGGTGTACAACTTACTGACAGCAATTAAAATAATCAGCTGTGCAACCCTACCCTTAATCAATATGATGTTTCTATCACCATTACCCACCCCACCCCCAATTTCCGCCTGCCTTCTGCCACTGGTAACCACTAATATACTTTGTTCTCTATACATTTGTTTTTTCTTGTCTTTTTATGTAAGTGATGTCATACAATATTTGTCCTTTTGTGATTATTTCACTCAGCATGTCTTCAGCTCCAACCGTGTTGTAGCATGTATCAAGGCTTCGTTTCTCCTCCTGGCTGAGTAGTATTCCACTGTGCGTATGCACCACGTTTTGTTTATTCATTCATCTGTGGATGGGCATTTAGGTTGGGTCCACCTTTTTGGCTGTTGTGAAGAGTGCCGCGTGTACATTGGTGTACATGTTGAGTCTCTGCTTTGTTGTAGGCCTTTTTGTTTCTGTGTATGGTGACTTTTCTGAACCAATTTTGTAAAATCTGTATTCTTTGTCGCATGTGGCCACTGAAGTCCATTCTATTAGCTTAATGGTCAGCTGGAGGTTTGGCAGAGATTAGGGTTTTTTTCCCCTTGATTAAGCACTTGCCTGGTTGCTGTAAACTTTTGATTAGCTTCTAGTGTTTCAATAAACTTGATCTGGACAGCAAAAAGAGGAAGACTCTCAACAAGATGCACTGACAAGTGGCTGCAAGTATGGGCTCAAACATAGCAACGATTGTGAGGATGGTGCAAGACTGAGCAGTGTTTTGTTCTGTTGTACACAGGGTCGCTATGAATCAGAACTTACTTAACAGCACCTAACAACAACACACATACATACACTCACACACGCATATATACATGCACACGCATACACACACACACACACATATATGTATATGTATAGACACACACATTCGTGAGCAGTGCCCAATGGCCTATTCAGGGGCCTGAAGGAAAAGGACTGGAAGATCAGAGACAAGGAGGTCTGGGGTTGAGGCTTTTGGATACAATAAAATTTTCATTTGAATGTACTGCATCCTTTCTAAGAGGTCAGTCAGAACTCTGATAAGATGGTGAGTTCTCAAATGAGGGAAGTACTGAGAAATAAAAAGTGCCTTACACTGCAACTACACTGTCAAAAAACTCACATGACTCCGAGTCACAGGGCAGTGCTATTATAACCAAATTGTGTAAGACAGGGCTGTGTTTATAAAACTGACTTCTGATACCTGGGAGCACAGAACTTCACATAAGTGCAAGATACTCCACAGCAGATAATTCAATAATACAGTTAATACCGCATCAGCGTGAGGACATTCTGGGCAGGCAGTCACCACGCAATCCTTAAAAGGATGGGGAAGCTCTTTATGTTCTGATGTTAAATAATCTTGAAGATACATCGTTAAGTGAAAAAAGGAAACAAAGTAAGGAAGAATATGCTATCATTAGCATACACAGTAAAAAAGTGGATACATTCGTATTTGTTTGTAAAGGCATAAACTAGCTCTGGAAGGAGACATAGGAAACCGAAAAAAACAGTGGTTGCTTCTAGGGAGGGGAATTAAGGGGCTAGTGGATGGGGTGAGAAGAAATTTTTCTCTCTGTATATGCATTTATACCTTTCAAATTATGTCTCCTCAACTCTAAAATGGGGATAATAACAGAATGTACTTTACATGCTGGCTGCTGTTATTCAGATCCTGCACAGCATCTGTAGGGAGTACCAGGATACATTAAAATTCTACAGAAACTGCCTATGATTCATAAATGCTCTGCAAAGTCCAGTGCTTTCTATGCTGGCAAGACGGAATTTTCCTAAGTGACAGTGATTCCAGTTCAAGTTGGCTGACTAAGTACCTCTGTGTCTCTCATCTCCCCCGTTTAAATGAGAGCAAAGGAGGGGGAGACAGAAATGCACAAAAAAAGAAAACATCAGCGAGTCATCAGAGGATGAGAGATTTCTATAACTTTCTGGAAGACAGGCAGAGCTGAGAAAGCTCAAGCCTAGAAAGGGCACAGTGGCCACAGCTGAGAAAGCAGTTCGCTCCTTGGCAAATTCTTCCTCTGTGTCTATAGGTGAGTTCTAAAAAAGTGAAAATCAGTCAATGGTTTTTATATTATTAGAGGTGGCGGACACTTTTGGCTGCCTTCCCAAAAGCCTTATCCCCCTTCTCACTTACTTGCAGATCCCTCATATTCTTTGCAGCTTGGCATGGCCATGTGCCACAGCCCTGGCCAGTGAGACACAGATGTCTACTGGGAAGTCCTGGGACAGATGCCACTGACCTGGCCCTTCTTCCTGCCTTGTATCTATAGTGCATGGGACAATACATGGAGAAATAAATATAGTATTTAAAGTTTCAAGGGTAACAACAAAGCAGAAGGTGTAAACTGATAGCCCATGCATCTTTTTCGTCTGGACCATGTGTTTGTTTGTTTGTTTTGTAAAATCAGGAGATTCCAACTTGTCCTTAAAATCACAGTAGATCTGGCACAGCTGAGCCTGTGTCCTAACGTGGCTATGGAAGGCCAGGGCTGAGGAATGGCTGCCTTGCAGATGGGGTCATGCTCTCCAGGTCGCCCAAACAATCACTTGTATGGAGACTGAGTGTCAGCTGCCAAGTCCCACTGCACCTGGGTGTTATTTTGATTACACACAAGGCTTAACGCACCTGGTCCATGTAGGTTACACTAAATGTGCCTCTGGACAACCTGACTTTTTAAAAATCACGATGGAAAGGCACAGGCCCTAGAATTGCTAAAACAGTTTTGAAAAAGAAAAATAAAGTGGGAAGAATCAGTCTATCCAGTTTCAAGACTTGTTATATAGCAAAAGGCAATCAAGATTGTTTGGCATAGACACATAGATCAATGGAACAAATAAGCCCAACTGATTTTTGACAAAGGTGCAAAAGCAATTCAGTGAACTCAAAGTGGATCACGGTCGTCAATGTAAGATATAAAACTATACAACTTTTAGGAGAAGAGTAGAAATTCTTCAGGATCTAGGGCCTGACACCAAAAGAATCATCCATAAAAGAAAAAGAAAAAAAAACAATAAATCAGACTCCAGAAAAATTAAAAACTTTTGCTCTGTAAAAGCCCAGTTAAAAGGACGAAAAGACAAGCTACACACTGGGAAAAATTTTGCAAACCACATATCCAACAAAGGACTAGCACCTAAAATATATAAAGAATTCTCAAAACTCAGCACTGAAAAAAAACACAAAACACTCCAATTAGAAAATGGGCAAAAGATATGAACGCACATTTCACCAAAGAAGGTATACAGAAGGCAAATAAGCACATAAAAAGATGTTTGACATCATTAAACATCGGGGAAATGCAAATTAAAACCATGATGAGACATCACTACACACCTATTAGAACTGCAAAAATAAAAAATAGTGGTAATACTAAATGCTGGCAAGTATGCAGAGAAACTAGGTCTCTCATACATTGCTGGTGAGAATGTAAAGTGGTCCAGCCCACTCTGGAAAACCATTTGGCAGTTTCTTAAAAAAACTAGACAAGCAACCATCATACAACCAGCAACTGGGTATTTACCTAGAGAAATGGAAACTTACGTTCATTCGAAAACCTATACGTAAATGTTCATAGCAACTTTATTCATCATAACCCAAAACTGGAAACGGCCCAAATGCCCTTCACCAGGTAAATGGCTGAACAAACTGTGGTACCGTGGAATCCTACTCAGCAATAAAAAGGAAAAAATTATTGATATACACAACAACCTGGATGAATCTCTAGAGAATCACGCTGAGTGAAAAAAGCCAATCTCGAGATTATATACTGTATCATTCCTTTTTTGTAGCATTCTTAAAATGACAAAATTATAGAGATGGAAAACAGATTTGTGGCTGCCTGCGTCAGGGATGGTAGGGTGAGGGGGTGAGTGTCACGAGAAAGGGGCAGCACCAGGGAGGTCTTCTGCGGTAACGGAATGGTTCTGTGTCATGACTGCAGTGGTGATTACATGAATGTATGCATGGGATAAAAGTGCACAGAACTACACACATACCAATGTGACTCATCTCCAACTTTTCATATCATACTATTACTGCCCTCCTAGTCTATGGATTTGAGCTTATTACATACAATGACTAACAAAATGGCTGGCATGTAGTGTTTGTTTGCAACCCAAAAACCGTAACTACAAGAGAGCCTGGTACCAGAGAATGGGTACAGATAACTGGCCTTTGAGAAACATGCAGTATACAGGATTGGTTTTAAGGCAATGAGACTCCAAATCATATTCTGGGATGGGGCAGTAAGAGTGACCGAACAGTTCTTTAAATTATTGCCTTCGGTGACCTGGGACCGTGTGGTTGAAACTCTGAGAGACATTCTGAACCGTTGTATGTTTTTACCACGTGCATGGTTTGTTGACTGAATGTACAGAAGGAAGACCACTGATTGGATGATTGCTGTAAAAGAACGATGAGCTCAAATAAATTTCTGGCCTCAAGCACGAAATAAAATTCAGGACTTTCCTTGACCCTGCCTGAAGAATCTCTTACTCTTAGTAATTGTGTTGCTGAAAAAGCTGAAATGCAAACTCAGAAATTCTGTGGGTTTATCAGCAACTATATTTACCAGAACATATAAATGGTAATTGCACTGATTCACCTGTATTTCCAGACTTGGTGGCCACCCTACATAACGTTCTAAGGAATGAAAGATTAGAAAGTCTTAGTCCACAGAATACAAAACGACCTTTGAAAGAGGGCAGAAATCTCCATATAATATTATCATGGGTTCCCAGTGTACCTTGAACAGGAAGATAAACTGGCACTCTTACCTCATATTCTTCGTATTCAGCTTTATTACCAAGATTGCTTTTAACATGTCAGCCTTTAAATTAAGGACTCAGCAAAGCTAGCCAGAGGCAGAACAAATTCCAGCCACAAAAGTTCAAGAGTTGCTATCCCAAACGCTGGTCTTTTCAAATGTGCTTATCCATCGAGACATACCCTTCACGATGACTAAGAGTCACTATCATACTCACCCAGAAGTTGCAAATGATAACTAAGAAAAACTGAAACTCCCAACGTGGCAACTGAAGAATCCATTCACAACAGGAAGGTTTCCAAAAGCAAAGTGCAACTTCTCCACCACAAACTTGTCCCCATGCACCCTGTCGTCCTGAAACACATTCCACCCTGCCTACTAAGCCCTCCCCGGTGTCTCTCTTCAGTGAAGCTTCCCTGCCCCCTCCCCTTAGAGCAAACTCTTTCAACTAGCCCCCATCTCTCCTCACTACAGATATGTCATGGTTTGAATTATGTCCCGCAAAAAATGTGTGTATCCATTTGGCTGGGCCATGATTCCCAGAATTGTGTGGTCATCCTCCATTCTGTGATTGTAATTTTACGTTAAAGTGGATTAGGGTGGGATTGTATAACACCCTTACTAAGGTCACAGCCCTGATCCAATGTGACGGGAGTTCCTCTAGGGTGTGGCCTGCACCACCTTTTATCTTACAAGAGATAAAAGGAAAGGGAAGAGAGCAGAATGGGGGGACCTCATACCACCAAGAAAGCAGAGCATGTCCTTTGGACCCAGGGTCCCTGCGTGGAGAAGCTCCTAGTCCGAGGGAACATCAATGAGAAACCCGACAGAGAGAGAAAGCCTTCCCCTGGAGCTGACACCCTGAATTTGGACTTTTAGCCTACTTTAACTGTGAGGAAATAAACTTCTCTTTGTTAAAGCCACCCATTTGCGGTATTTCTGTTAGAGCAGCACTAGATAAGTAAGATATATCATAGAAACAAGGATATGCAAGCATACACTTACATGTGATATCTGTGAGTGTATGTCTGTACACATACACACACAGACACACACACTAACTTATTAACGCAATCGCACCCCTGGAGTCCCACCCCGCTGTCAGAGACTGCATTAAGTGAAGGGGATCCCAAGATAGTTAAGTCCTGGTCTTTTCCTCTCAGCAGCTCACTAGCATGGTTGGTGCTGCAAGGGATGCATAGATGGGATGCTGTGGGGTCCAGGGAGTCGGAAAAAAGCAGCCTGAAGGACCTCTGCCCCCAGTCAAGTTGAAGATCATCGTAGACTGTAAGCACCAGAGGATACAGACCATGGTTGTCTGCTTTCTTCAAAACCAGCAAACTATGTCTCCAAATGGAGTCTTCTAAATGCTGAAGAAGATGGCATCTGCAAGAAGAGGGGAGGGAAGATAGCATACCGAAGGCAACAGACGAAAGAGAAGTCTGCTCATGAGTGGGGACGGGAGACGGAAGAAACATCATGCACACATACGTTTTGCCTGATGAAGTTGCACAAAGTCTGCACGTCACACAATTGGCCCAAGCTGAGCTTAGGAAAAAGGGGAAGATGCTTGCCTTCGCCTCAGGATAACTAACTTGTCCAGGCTGATGACTTAGATTGTAGTCTGTCCTATCTGTCCATCCACTTACGGTATCTGTCACACACACCTGCCCTGGCCCTCCTGATCCCCTCTGACCATGCTCTAACTCTGCTTGCTTCCACAGCCCTCGTATGTTCTAACATGCTAGAGATTTTACTGGCTTATTTTGTCTCCCTGAACTGGAATGGAAGTTCCACGCGGGCAGAGACCTTTGTTTGATTTACTCATGGACCCAAGCACCAAGAACAGTACCTGGCTATAACAGGAACTTGCTCAATATTTCTTGACTACTTGAAGCTCAAGGCATGCTCCTGTATTTTTTGAGTCATTACCACCATCACCACCACCAATATGCCAATGGTAAGTGACAGGAGCAATGCTGAACAAGTAATAAAGGCCAGAGGTACTAGATCTCATGTCTCAGAGTTCACTTTACAACCTCCACGCTGTCCCCTCAAAACCACCACCCTCTTCTCCAACGGACATGAGGGGCCCCAAGGCTATGGCAGGCCTATCCCCCACCAACAACAAAAGCAGGATGGAAGTGACTCTAGTTAAAGATGACTGCTCAGATTTAAGAGACACCGGAAAGTGAACCCCCAACCATGACTCGATGTCTGGTCTTTGCTCTGCAGCCTCTTGGCAACGCCCACCCACCTGCCAGGCAGCCTGCTGCTCTGAAACCCCCTTCAGAGGAAACATCTGCAGCAGGGTTCAAAGGGCAGAGCCAGTTGCTCAAAGGAAGTTGGAATTGAAAAGGAGATGAAAAACAAACTTGGTGGGGGGGGGGCGGTGAAAAGAGCCTGGGCAACTAAAATTGGCTTTCCCATCCAAACAATTGGATTCAGAGCCGATGACAGTGAAGGTAGGAAAGAACAAACATTCGTGCAGTGTACTGTTAGGCTCTTTGCCAACTGCTTCCACGTGGAGACTTAGGAGAAGGTGAGGGAAGCCCAAGAAAAGACACAGAACCGGAAGTCACAATACCTGGCGTGGAGTCCCGGCACTGTCACTAAACTAGCAACGGGCTGTGTACAAATAACGTCATTCATTACATTCTCATCCCTATTTTGTGATAAATATGTGAGGCTTGAAACAGTTTAGAACCTTGTCCAAGGTTAAAAGACAAGTAAAAGTAAGTCTCCAACTCCAGGAGTTAAATTCAGAGTATGGTTCAGGGTCGTGAGGGTTCAAGGAAAGAATGCAGGCACAGTGCAGAGGTGGTGCAAATAGGTACTGGGGCTGCAGAGACATGAATCCAAGTGCATTCTATCAACACAACGTAGGGGAGTGAGGCTATTTCCGGCAGGCAGGCGGGCCTGTCATAACTGCAG